CTTCGTTCATGGATCGTGTTGTTGAAAAATGATAAAGAAAGAAAGAAAGAAAGGGGTAAACGAGCGGCAGGCTCATCTCATGGTAAGCAACACCAGAGGGCTTACAAATACGTTGCTGGCCTTTTAAGAAAGAGTATGCTCTCTTGTAGGTTCCCAGGTCGTAACAGTTCCGAAAGACCGCCGTAGGCAGCTGGTTCCACAGAGTGGTCGTGCGAGGCAGGAAATGCCTTGAAAATCGAACGCTGGACATCTAGGTGGTGTGGATGAAATTTTTTATTTTCATCTGTACGCAGAGCCAAAGGATCAAGCCAATCTGAAAGACTGATCGTCTGTGAAATAGAGATATGCACTACAACCGCCCTGATTTATATTACTGGATACAATAATCACAACATATTGATGAAAAACATTAGATCACCGATTTGAAGGATGAAATCATGAGAATATGGAAGGAATAGAAGCGGTATATATACTATACGGTATAAGTACTAATGTCCGCCACTACAAGCGGTAGACTCCTTGTGTGTCTTAAGTGCGAAACCCGACCGTACTTTCGATTTTTATCGTGACTCAAAATTACCGTACTTTTAGATAGATTCAAAGTAGTCGAAACGTCTTGAAAGGTGGTAGGGCTACGCAGCAGCCTCGGCTGTTGCACGAATGGGCAGGCTCGTCCGGGTGAGTACCACGACCTAACAGAAGGCCGGCGTAAAGCGGAAGTATAATACTTTCGTTTCGTCTGGTGAGTGGGGTGGCCGGAGCCCAATTTTCAAAAGGTCAACGCATCTGCAACCCTCGGGTGTACCAGATGTCCATGGGCAGCGGTATTCACTTAATATCAGGTGAACCGCCTGCTCGCTTGGCAACTTGTCATATAAAGAAAACCGAGCGATTATAAATAATAGAGACATCCGCTTCTTACGTGCCAGCAACCGCTTCCACGTGACAATAAATACGCGATAGTTGTATATCCGATCTCCATCGCGAGAATAGACCGGTGCTCTGGCATTCGATAGATGACGGATCGTCTGATGTTAAGCGATAAGCGACGCCCATGTACTTTTACACCCGTAGTTGCCACCTTTTAATGGCTTTTAATGGGACCAGACTAAACGCAGAAATAAATAAATATTTCGGTATATTTTTACACAACATTGTCTAGTCCTAAACTAAGGAAATCTTGTACTGTGGGTACTAGATTACTGATAAACATAAGCATACTTTTTTTGTAAATAAATACATATTATAGATATGTAAACACCCAGACACTAGAAAAACACTATGTTCATCACACAATATTTTTCTAGTAGTGGGGATCGAACCCACACCCTCTGGCGCACAGGGTCGTAGTACTAACCCGGACGGACCTGGCCATTCATTCACCAGCTAAGTCTGTTGCGTGGACGCAATCATATCATTGTTTTCAGTACATGTACGTCATTTGAGCATGATCTAATATTTCCTGAAAACTTTAGCGTATATGTTGACGTCAGACCTGGTCATGATAGTTGCGAGCGGTAGCAAGTTTTCGGATTTTCGAATTTCATACATGATGACCCGAACGGCGTAGTGCGAAGTGTACCTGCCTCCTGCGCCAGAGGGTGTGGGTTCGATCCCCACTACTGGAAAGATATTGTGTGATGAACATAGTGTTTTTCTAGTGTCTGGGTGTTTATATATGTATAATATGTATTTATTTACAAAAAAAAGTATGTTTGGGTATGTTTATCACTGATCTAGTACCCATAGTACAAGCCTTGCTTGGTTTGGGACTAGAGAACGTTGTGTTAAAAATAAATGTCTCCTAAAATACGTGCAATGATAGCTCGGCGGCAGTCATACGATCGTTATGTATATCTTGTATTAAAAGAAACTTACATATATAATTATATATTATATAACTTATATATATTTTTGCCCCGTTGTATGAATAAATCATATAATATCATTACGTGATCAAGACAATTTATTGATCTTTCTAAAGGTAATAAATAGCCGTATGAAACATTATTGTGACCGTTATGTTCGGTAGGACCTTATTTACGTTGTTTTTATTTAGTAACTTGATTCTTTTAGGTGTATCTTGGATAGATAAATATACACTAATCGTGGTATAAGCCAGAGATAATGCCAGATTGCTTTATTACTAATTAATCCCGACTCGCTTGAGACGGGCTCAGAGTATATAGTATACTCCCTCTCACGGTTGTAAAGGGCTCACGATATAATTTAAAACTAATGTCCCTTCTCTCTTGAAAAGGGCTCACATCAAATTTACATATCCGATACAAGTTAACAGCTCCCCCACATTAAAAAAAAATGTAGGGAAAGCACACGGCTCCATGAAAACACTCACCAACGCCGTGTGCGGTGAGCGCCATCCAACATATTGTGAAATCTAAATCTATCTAATCTAAAGGAGCCCTTTGCCCAGCAATGGGATATTAGTGTCGCATTCGAGTAGAAACAACAAATCATTCTATCTACTTTCTTCTAGTCATATGGTGATAAAATTACCATGCATTCAATTGTCTATGATTCACTGAAAGAGATACGGATTAAAATGTAGCAACGCATCTACGGGTGTTGCAATTGTCAATGGTCGGCGATTATCACTTAACATCAGGTGAACCGCCAGCTCGTTTGCCATCTTTTTACATAAAAAATGTTATACAGGGTGGCTTTTCTAAGTGTATCCATTCCATTCTTTTATTAGATTCTAGACATAAATAATGTCATATAAAAAACTGATAAAATTAACTAAAATCATTCGTAAGTAATTAATTACATTCATTTGAACTTATCTCAAAAAGTGCGTGATTTATGGGCAACTCATTTATTTTACGCGCGATCATTCATAACTAACACGCACACAAGTTCGTGCACAGTAAAATTTAGGTATTTATGAATGACCACCGCATTGTTAACACGTTCTGTTTTTTAGGGAATAGAATGACATTTTATTTTTGGAAAAAAAACTTTGTTTTTTATTTCAATAAACGATTATACTACCGAGCTTGAACCTCCTGTGTAAATTTGGACACTTCTCAAAAAATCTCCCTGTATATATTTTTATTTATATATTGATATTATATTTATAGTTATTGCATATACGTTTATTACTTTTATTATTTATGCAAACCAATTTCCTATCACAATTCTGCTGGAAGTGATTTCTTAAGAAATAAGCAGGGCCTTTGTGCAAATCTTTTCCTGTTATTACATTTATTTTTATATTACAATGTATACATAAATCTATACTAATATTATAAACGCGAAAGTTTGTATGTACGGATGGATGTTTGTTACTCTTTCACGCAAATACTACTGAATGGATTTTAATGAAACTTTACAATAATATAGCTTATACATCAGAATAAGACATAGGCTATAAATTGTATACATATTTTATGTAAATCTGTCTTCCTGTCTGAATGTTACGCCTTCAGCCTATTCTACGCAGACGAAGTCGCGGGCAACAGCTAGTTATTAAATAAATGAAAAAAAAATCTACAAAACACAATTTACGTTTGTGTAATTTATATTTCCGAGAATCATTGCTGAGTGACCCCTAAAACTGAATTTTGGCATTTACATTCGTGTATCCGTTCCGACGGCCTTGTCTAGTGACGACGGTCACGGCTAACGTTCGCCCGCTTGGCGCAATTCACAAGCGGAAGCGATTTATTCGTGCTAACTCCTCAAGCATTCAATATATGGCCAAATAGGCCAAATAAGGAGTAGTAGCCATATATTCATCGCAAGTCTATAATTATTTTCGTTTATCATTATTTATCGAATGACGTTTTGAAAAGTGGAAATTTTCGACGATTTAAACTTTAATATATTAGCGCCCGGTTTTTGAACCAATGATCATTGTTGAAATTAACTAATGGCTGTCAAAATACTTTTCAAATGTCTTTGGAGTTGCCAAAAGGATTGTTAAACTTCTTAATAATCAGGATGATCAATTCAAATAGTTTAACCATCCTTTTGGCAACTCAAATGCCATTTGACGGCTGATTAGTTAAATTATACGATGATCAGTGTTTCAGAAAGCGGGCGTCAGTCTAGCGACATTTCTCACCGACGCTGTGTGTCTGAAAAATGTGGCGCTAGTCGCCTGTCGCTTGCGCCTCACCAATAAGTGTTTATGCAACCTCCATTTATATTTGCATATTAATAGTTCAAACGGAATTGGGTCGAATTGAAGCACGGAACCGCGAATTGATTTTGAAATAACCGTGCAAATATAAATGTTCTACTGGAAGTTATCACGTAATTTAATGCTGATAAGGTTGACAGATACGTACGATCTAAAACGAATTATTGTAGGTGTTAATTCACAGAAAACAGTACCAATAATGTAGACACGAGCATTGGTAGACGGAAGAAATCATTATTAGTGGGTCAGAATAGGACTGCAGTAGTCTGTTTGTGGACAGGGAGCATTCACGCTTGCACTGCTCACTCTAAATGAGGTTACCGACAGAATTGACATGTTTTCATGCATGCACAGAAATTATTTCATCATAGTATCCCGTGATATGTTACGCATAAAGCTGTGTGATTTTTTTTATTATATTCTTACCGTGTTTAATTGGTCTCATGGAATTGTTAGCTTTCATTTTTTATCTTTTGTTTCGGCTACTTTATAATTTTTGGCTACATTATCGCATTGGGTCAGCCAGTAGTGATGCGCGTTTCGTCTTTTTCTTTTTTTTATGTGAGAAAGTGGCAAACGAGCTGGCGGCCCACCTGATGTTAAGTGAGAACCGCCGCCCGCGGACGTTTGCAACACAGATTGGATATATGTTGCCACCTTTTAACAATGTGGGCCGCGGCTACCCCACTCACCGGACGAAACGCAGAAGTGTAACAATTCCACTTCTCGCCGGTCCTCTGCGAGGTCGTGATACATACGCCACCACCTGCGTGTTACACACACGCAGGTGGTGGTATTATATTAATAAATAAACAAACTTGTTCTGAAAACGTAGGTTTTCGAGCACGCGTACTCGGCCGGCATGCGGCCCGACGAGATCCTGGAGGCGATCGCTTCGATGCGGCCCACGCCGGGCGTCCTGGAGCTGATCGCCACCCTCGCCGCCCACGGGTGGGACGTGCTGGTGCTCACCGACGCCAACAGCGTCTTCGTCGGCCACTGGCTGAAGACGCACGGGCTGCAGGTGAGGGGGGGGGGGGATGGGAATCCTGCGTAGCAAAGCACAGGAACGGAGGCTTTATAGCCCTTAATTTAGGATATTAAGATATTACCTATTTACAAAATATCTGATATATTTTCTGATTTTTATAGATTATATAGCCGATGTATTTTTGGGACTATACGAAACATTCAATAACGAAATCGTATCAAAAACGATTATTTTTTTAATTTCAAACCGGGGACAGAGTCCCTACATTGTCATGATGCCTTTCCTTCACTCGACCCCAACATAAATCTGGGCTTTAACTGCAACCAAACAGATTTTAACACTGATTGCTCGAGTTTGGCCCCAAGCTAGGTTTACCGCGATTATGTGCATCGACATAACTTGTTAATAAAAACTAAGTCCGAATCTCAAGTTGAACAATGGGATGTAGTTAAATTGTTCACGTGAATACCGTCTATGGGCTTCCGTACCGTAAGCGGTATACCAAGGTTACTACGTTCCTAACAATTACGAGAACCGCAATAATGTCTTGTATCTTGTATTAACTGATGTTTTTGCTTTCAGTCCCGAGACTATTAAAGCTTCATCTGACGCAGAACCGGTGGGCTAGCCAGAACCCACGGGTTTGGGCCCTCCGTTGTGGGTAGGGCCGCGCATGTGCTCATGCGTGCGTTTAACTACGACATGTCATCTAAGGGCCATCGGGGTCTCGGTTCGGACCGTAAACCCCGATGGCCGTCGACTGTGCAATTAGCTAATCGGTGGCTGGGGGCGGTGAGAACCGCCCCGGAACGCGGGTGTACCTTGTGTACGCGTTGTGTTGGTCTCGCCGTGCTCGGAGGCGAGGGCGAACTATTGTGTTTGTTGTTACACTAGCTGTGGGTGTAGTGTTGTCCGGCGGGACCCCCGGCGGTTGCAATAATGTGCTACATATAGCGTACCAAAACCAGCACGGGAACTTGGCCGTGTCGTATATACAGGGAGATTTTTTGAGAGAAGTGCCCAAATTTACACAGGAGGTTCAGACTCGGTAGTATAGTTTTTTTTTTTTTTTCCAAAAAAATGCCATTCTATTCCCTAAAAAACAGAACGTGTTGACAATGCGGTGGTCATTCATAAATACCTAAATTTTACTGTGCACGAACTTGTGTGCGTGTTAGTTATGAATGATCGCGCGTAAAATAAATGAGTTGCCCATATTCACGCACTTTCTGAGATAAGTTCAAATGAATGTAATTAATTACTTACGAATGATTTTAGTTAATTTATCATTTTTATATGACATTATTTATGTCTAGAATCTAATAAAAAGAATGGATACACCCTACTTAGAAAAGCCACCCTGTATAAGGTTTCATTATGTGTTCTCTCTACTAACTATGGCTCTAAGAAATATTCTCAGATAACCCATCGCAAGATGTGCCCTCTCGAATTCTCTAGAAATTTATCACGGTCAAGTATAGGCGAATGGTCACGTCTTAAAGAGCAAAATGCTTCACTAGTGCTAAATAAGCACATCTTAGCTTCTCTGGTTAGCATATAAGAGTCTAAAAGATTACGTGTAATATTAATCGTTCAGTAAAAACTTTCTTTTCAACTGTCCCAAAACAGATCCTCTATTCGCAATATTTAGAGGAATGTGTTCTAAAAAATTTACTGTTATTTTCGAGTTCATTATAAACTCGTAAATAGCAATTGATTATACAAACAAAAAAATACTGTAATTTACGAGTTTATTAAAAACCCGTAAGTTGCTTCCATTGCTTCAAATGCTAAAAAGCAATGTAGATAAAAGACGTTAACATTTTCGTCGGTGTGGCAATCAGCCGTTTAGCTTAGTTTCTAAAGCGTCAGGCCGCGAACGTCGAAGACGTGGGTTCGATTCTCACAGCGGCGACAATCTTTTCGTACTTTTTCTACAATTTTTAACTCGTTAATTGTTAGTATCATTCGTCTCCCTTCCACAGCGTGTCGTTACAACCGCGACAATAAATGAACACACATATAGAGGATAACTTATTAAAATTGTATTAAACATTTACATTCTTTAAAAATCAATATTTACAGAGTTATTAAATTTTCCAAAACAAAGAATTTTAAAACACCCTTATGTATAAAACTGTAACGTAAAGTTCATTTGTAAAGGTCACAAAGCATATGAATGGGTTGAATGAATTTAAAAGAGACAAAACATACTGTTAGGAGACGCTTGTAATGCGACGTTGTGGCAACGAATGAAAAAGTCTCTGAATGTATAAATCAGTCAATTGTAGTTGTATAGGTGTTACAAATTTTGTTTCTTTTTCACTTAATTAGTTTGTTTGAAAAATATATTTTTTTTATTTATGGATTTTTTTAACGTTTATATTTTTTTATTATTATTGGCAAGTAGCGTTAGACGTGTGTTCATTTATTGTCGCGGTTGTAACGACACGGCTGTATGTTAAAGAATTAATTTGTATCCAAATCAACTGCAAGTCAACCACCGTCGCTCCAGGACGCCGTCACGGCGGTGGTGACCAACAGGGCGTTCTGGCGCAACGGCCGCCTCTACATAGAGCCGTGCATGCACCAAACCGCGTGCCCCCGCTGCCCCGCCAACCTGTGCAAGTCGGCCGCGCTGGCCGAGTGGTGCGCCCGCCGCGCGTACACCGCCGTCGTGTACAGCGGCGACGGCAGGAACGACTTCTGCCCGGCCACGAGTCTACCGCCACACGTGAGGACTTGAGCTGACCGCCCTTTAACAGGTCCAGAGGATGCGTACGGTAGCTATGCCAGGAGCGACTTCTGACGCGTTTCAAGGCTACCGGTGCACGTGAGGACCTGTGTTGACTGCCCTTTGACAGATCCGGAGAATGCGTACGGTAGCGGCGGCAGGAGTGTTTCCTGAGGCGTTTCAAGGCTACCGGTGCACGGGAGAGCTTGTGTTGTACGCTCATTAACAGATCGAGAAGAGTGCGTACGTTAGTGCCGGCAGGAGCAATTTCAGACGCGTTCCGATACAACCGGTGCATGTGAGAGCTTGTGTTGACCGCCCTTTAACAGACCCAGAGAATGCGTATGCTAGCGGCGGTAGGGGCGACTTCTGGAGCTTTCCAAGGCTACCGGTGTACCTGAGAGCTTGTGTTGACCGCCCTTTAACAGATCCAGAAAAATGCGTACGGTAGCGGCGGCAGGAGCTACTGCTGACGCGTCCTAAGGCTATCGGTGCGCGTCAGGGCTTGTGTTAACCGCCCTGCATTACTTCATAAATACGTTTTATTTTCGAATCAAATTCCGAACATCTGTTCCGTTTTTTTTTTATCGATAATAAATACTAGTTCCCGGAGAATCGATCATTTAAACTAAATGTGTATATAAATGGATACCAATGGATTAGCAAACACTGTCATAGTAGTTACATTTTCAACGAATATATAATAAATACGTTTTATTTTCGAATCAAATTCCGAACATCTGTTCCGTTTTTTTTTTATCGATAATAAATACTAGTTCCCGGAGAATCGATCATTTAAACTAAATCGAGTTAAAGTTGTACAATCTCCAGTCATGTCGAACTCACACCTGTCACGCGAACCAAGCTACAAAGGATTTCGTAGATTGTAACTGAAAAGAATGAACCGTGTCTAAATGTTTGTTGGCTTGGACGGGACCTATAGATAGTTCCTCTCTCTCAGGCTACGGTGTTTCCCCGCCGCGGGTATCCAATGGACGACCTCATAAAGAAGACCATGGCGTCCCCAAATCCCCTGGTGAAGGCGAAAGTGGTGCCCTGGGACGACTGCTACCGGATACTAGACGAGATCTTCCCTGGGCGGTCGCAGATTATATCCAACTAACTCTACCCCAGTAGAGTCAGTTATATCCAACTAACTCTACCCCAGTAGAGTCAGTTTAACAGTATTCTGTTACCTTTAGGTTATGCTTTAACGTGTTTTATGCGAAGTGAAACTTCGAACGGCCACCGCCGTTACAAACCGCAATCTAATTGCTACATCATAATTTTATTTTATTATGTAATTACATTAATTAGTGGAGTATATTTTGTGAAAAGTTTAAATTGGTATACAAAATAAAAATACAACATTTATAGGTTAGGCATTGGCACAAATAAAGTAGCATTCCCGCCAAAAAGCGCAACTGTTAGATGTGATGTCTATGGCTTCATGTCGTTAGGCCGAGGTTTTATTTTTATTTCTAGAAAGATTGTAATGAACTAAAAAAATAGGCAAATGATATGGTAATTAAGTAACTAAGTTAAATAAACTCCATTTTAAATATTATCTAGATACTTGCTTGCTTCCTTTTGAGAACAATTATGTAGTTTGTCGAATGCTTCATAGCGATGCCTATTTCTCAGCTCAAATAAGAGTATCGAATGATTTGTTGCCATAGGCGCAGTCAAGTGGAACTATGTAGCGAATCTTCGCGAGCTTTATAAATATTCTAACACTGTAAAGAGTGCCAAATTATTTTTTATCTATATTGTATATATGCCAACGACTTGTTGACCACTCCTTGTCCATGGCAGTGATGTTGAGGTATTAAAGTCCCATTATCATGTAAGGGGTGGTAACATTTTGAAAATCGTGGAGTAAATTAATAAATGAGCAAAAACCTTTTCTTTTAACGTGGCCAGATAAGTAGTTTTAGGGATAGAGATTTCTTAGTTTCTTACACGCGATATAAGATCTAGTTGCACTCAATGTGAGGTATTAATGTATATATAAGACATTGTCTTTTTACGCCTGTTTGTGCAATAGTTAATATCGATATATCTTGAGCAATATCTGTTTGAAACGTCCGAAGGTGTGAGTACTTAATCTTCATACGGAAAAGGAAACTTGTAAAGTTCTGTCGTATTTTATAGTCTATGGTAGCGACTTAATTTTCTCTTATGTATAATTTGTTGAGGTTGATAGAAACTGAGAGTTCTCTTGACTTCATTAATTGTGATAATAAAGCCGTGTCATCTTTTTAACGCCTTTTTTTAGCTTAAATCCTTTACAGGTGCAAAATCTTATCAGATATTTCACGTCTTGTGGCATGCCAGCGATACTGGATAAAACTACGTACTGTTGTATAGTACAATTGACCAAATTAGTTTATTAATAACACATTACTAGATATGTCTAAAATTGATATCGATACAATATCTAAAAAAATTATAGTTGCTTTCTTTTTACCAATATTTACATTACTATATACTTAAAGTACAAGTTAACAAGAACGCTAGCTGCATTTCCTCAATCTCTATTATAAAATAAAATTTATTTATATACTGTATTTATTATTAATTTTAAAATAAAATAATTTTCTTTTAAAAATCTAACAACAGTAAGTAGTTGGATTTTTAAATTTGTCTTTATAATTAATTTCTATTCTATTTTAGGTTTTGCGTTTAGCTAATATTTATATTAAATTATAATACTTTGTGTTTCTTATGTTGGCTATATGGCCAAGGTTAATATAATAAATAAGCAAAACCAAAATCGTCCAGTAACTTTATTCAATAAATACCCACATATTTACAAATTTTACAGTCGTTTATTGTTTCGCTACGTACTTCTATATATATAAACGGTCCGTACGGACATACAATTATATGTACAATACATCACATACTACAAATGTTCTATCGATACAAAAATTCCTGAATAGGTCCTACGTTACAATTGTATACTGCTTACTTTTACCTATTCAGTACAACTGAACACTCTACCAGACACTTGGAATGTGAACGTTTCAATGTGGGAAGGGGGAGGTGGTGGGGTTGAAATGTATAATTAAATAACAAACGATGAATTGAAAAAGAAATTTAAGCTGGTAACACAGGACTACGATAAAGGACCATATAAATGTTACGTCGCTATCAGACCTTGGTTCGTATAAGACTGGAGGTTGAAAATTTTAAGGAAAAGCGTCATTACGGGAAGAATGAGGTCAGGTTAAACTTTATTTTTAACAGACTTCAAAAAATATGGGTTCTATGTTCGGCTGTATGTATTTTTTAAATGTATGTTTACCGATTTCTTCACCGTTTGTGGACCGATTCTTAAAATTCTTTTTTTTTAATAACTTTATGTTTAGTCGCCCATGGACTGAATAACTTAGTAAAATGGAAATTTGTAAGCGACAATAACACATTGATGACTCCATTTTTTATATATTCACCAGCCATTAGAAAAAAGAAAAAGCGATGTACGATGATGATGACTCCGTGGCGGAGTTGCCAAGGTATCGGCTTCGGCGTCGTGGGTCGTGGGTTCGATTCCCACACGGGACAACTGTTTGTGTGACCCACAGATAGTTGTTTCGCATCTGGGTATTTGTAAACGTGAAATTTATGTTTGTAAAATGTCCTTACAACACAGGATAATAATCCTAAAGGGCAATGTTTAAAAAAAAAGAAAAATAATACTACACAAAAGCGCCAACACAGTCTCATTCTCCAGGTATTCTTTGATTAAAAAAAAAACGAGTGTGTGTTAATTTGTATGCACGCAAAAAGTTATACTACTTTGGCGTAACAAATGAAAATGTACTGAACATTTTATCCCGTGTGCTAGTACTTTTTGTTTGTATGAGAAGACATTAAATGCAATTGATTACGGTTTATTAAATCATTAGGATTTCTAAGTAAAATGTCAAGGTTATTGGTCAGCATGGTAACACCATGAAAACCGTGAAAATTCACTCATCTTTCACCACAAACGCGCCGATAGAATCTAACTTCAAAATGTAACTTTAAAAACTTCAGCCATTATACAATTAATAAGACAGCGTGAGACGCGAATATTCGCGCGAGACGGAGACGACCGAACACATGTGTGTGAGGGAAAGAGAGGACCAGTCCCAGCACAGCCCCGTTCGAGGGAAAGAGAGGACCAATCCCACTATGACGTCAGCTAGCGACCTCAGGTTCCAATGAATTGCAATTGCAATTTCTGTTGAAAACGCTGTTACCTTATTGGTGAATCGGTTGCTAAATTCCAATTGTTTTATTCATATTTAATTTTTTTAATGTACCAAAGAAACGTTCCCCTCGTTCTTCCTTTCCACACTATCCACTCAGGAGGTCCAGCAGCAGGGAATCGCAGAATCACGAGAGCTCCACATCGGAGAGGGCGCGCGGGTGCTGCGGGGCGTCGCCCTCGGCGTCCGTGCTGAGGCCGGCCTCCGCCCCCCCAGAACAGTCACTGGCATCCTCCTCCCTGTAGCCGGACGGCGAGAGGCTGCGCACCGCCGCCTTGGACACCGTCTTGAAGATCTCCCTGGAGTCGAGCTCCGAAGTGGCGAGGCTGAGGGCGCGCTGCCAGCCGTCCAGGCTGAGCGCGTGCGCCCCCACTTGGCGGTCCGCCAGCTCGAGGAGTTGGGACTTTATCTCGGCGCGGGTCTTCGGTGTCCAGTCGGCGAGCTCCGAGCGGAGGGCTTCGGACGCCTGCTCCAGTCTGTGGCCGTCGTTGCTCGTTTTCATGCGAGTAGGTGGGAAGCGAGCGGTTCGCCTGATCTTAAGTGAATACCGCCGCCTATGGAAATCTGCCACCCCTGAGGGTTTGCGGATGCGTTGACAGCCTTTTTGAAAATTGGACTTTGGGAAAATTGGCCACCTCACTCACCAGACTAAACGCGAAAGTATTATACTTCCACTTTACGCCGGTCTTCTGTGAGGTCGTGGTACTTGCCCGGACGAGCCTGCCCATTAAGTGAAGTGGGTGCCGGAACTCACCCACAAGCTGAAACCCCTCAAAGGGGCTACCGCTACCCATGGTTTCTATAACCCTTAAAGTGTTGTAATGTCCAGGGGTAGTGGTAGTCCCTAAATCAGAAGAACACCCCGCTCGCTAGCCAGCAAGTCATTCGGTTTATGTTCTAATTTCCTTTTTTTTGTGAGAATGTAACATACGAGCTGGAGGTACACCAGGTGCTAAGTGTACCTTTAATAAAGCGGGCCCCGGCTACCTCACACACCATACGAAACGCAGAAGTGTAACACTTCCACTTAACTAACATGTCAGTCTTCTGTGAGGTCGTGGTGCTTCCCCGAACGGACCTGCCCATTCGTGCAACAGCGAAGACTGTTGCGTGACCACTTGTGATGGAAGGTGAACGGACGAGCGGTTGAAAGTTGAAATGGAAGTAGTGTAATTTGTGCGTCTGGTGAGGTAACCGACAACTCTTTTGTAGTCTGACAAACCACCTGTAACCCGTTTGGTTGAGGATGTGCATGGGCTTACAACTCTAGACGAACCGCCTGCTCATTTGAAAATTTCATAGAAACAACAAGAATTTGAAGAAGGGAGTAAAGTTAAAAGGATTAAATTCATAATGCGTAAATAAAATTGTCAAATAATTTTTCATCGGTGCAAGGAATCTAACCTGGGCCACTCGGAACGCAACCATACGCTCTAGTCACTTAGCTAAGCGGTCGATGACGGCGCTAAACGTATTTTCGCTAATTTTTAATCTACATAATTGAAGTTTCCTCTTAGCTGCAGAGACTGGCGCTAAAATTAATAGTCAAAGGACATACAAAATACAATGAAAACTCACCTGTTGTGCAAGTCACCCGTCGTGTTGTTACCGGAGACGTAGGCGGCTGAGGGTGTTAAAATTCTGGTTAAGTTTACATTTAATATAAAGTATAAAAAATCCGCCTAAATGCTAGTTGGACCATCTATAAAAGCGGTAAAATTATAATGCCTGTTGTATGGGAGCATCACAAAAATATTTTTTATTCTGTTTTTAGTATTTGTCGTTAAAGCGACAACTGAAATACATCATCTGTCAAATTTTCAACCGTCTATCACGTTATGTGGTACTCTTTATAGCTCCCGTTTTACCCTTATCTACTAATAGGAGTTTTTTGTTGAACTACGAAATATTAACATATTTAATACGTACATAACGGAGAGACGTGATTGTAAACTCATAATAAACAATATTAAGTGGATGGGTTATGTCGGAAGGATATGCCTTGTTACATCCGTCCTAGACGTCGTGGACGCCTAAAGAAGCGATGGCTGGACGTCGTACGTACTGATCCCTGAGGATGTTTAAGATCGGGCAAAGTGCGGGAGTTTGAGTATCAATGCCAAGTAGAAGAAGAGGATTTAAGCCCGGTTCCTATATTAAACGGGCGGCCGTTAGTTGCATTGTCATTATGAAGTCTCTACAACGAGTCGTTATGAAAGATATGGAAGTTATGTAACTAACGCCCGTTCGTTGAATATAGGAACCGGGCATAAATGGACCCGTGTTCTGACCGTGGAGCGCGTCCCGCTGCCGTATCTTCTGCAGGTGGGCGTTGGCGTACGCCGCCAGGAGGGGCAGCGTGGCGCGGTGGCGGAGGGGGGCGCGCGCGCGGCTGGCGGCCGCCGCCCCCGCCCCCGCCCCCGCCGCGCCCGCCCCCCGCGCCACCATGCCCCCCGCCTGCGTGGCCCACGCGTCGCACGCGCGCCGCATCCTGCAGATGCACGCGGACACCCTGTGTCTCTTACTACGTCCAGGTTTTGATACAACCTGTGTCTAATGCTATTACGAGGAATCGATACAGCCTGTATCTATTAATATACCGAGTTCAGATATACTATATGTGTTGCTATACAAAGTGGTTTTGAGACACCTTATATCTGTTACTATATCGAGTATTTGAAACACCTTTATCTGTTACTTTATAGAACTTTTGAGACAGCCTATTTCTATTAATATGTTAAAATTTTTATACATCCTCTATGTATTACTATTTTGAGGATTTAATTCTAATCCTGTACGTCTACTATCGAGGATTTGAGACATCCTATATTATTACTATGTCGATGATTAGAAACACCTAAATCTATTAAGATATTGATAAGGTTCGAGACACTATGTCTGAATCGAGTTTTTAAGACAACCTATATCTGTTAATACATCGAGGTTTTGAAACAACCTGTATCTTTAGGAACACGAGGCGCTACGCCGCAAGAAAGCAACGGACGAGTCGATACGTAGTCCGTACATGCAAACGGCAGAATAATCAGCGTGGATCTAGATGCCTATATAGACATCATCGCCCTGCTTTTATCCCACCTAGATGGTGTCGAAACTACATGGGAAACATTGTCAGTTATACTGGCTAGGTTTTTTACAACCCACGTCAACCGTCCTTGGGAACAAACACCCAGATCGGGAACAATTATGTATGTGTCGCACAAATACTTGCCCAGTGTGGGAATCAAACCCACGATCCCCGGTGCCAAGCAATACATATCGCAACACTACACTGTAATTCATCTGATATTTCTAAACAAATCAAGTTGTGAATATACACGGAGCGCTATTGAGGCCAAACGGCATTTTTCGAACTCCAAAAAACCCAAAATCATTCAAAGAGACTAAAGTATTCTGTAGTGAGTATTAATGGTCAAAGGAGTGTCTGATTCATCTCCTGGTTCACATAAAAATTTCGAATATATGTGAAGTCACTGATCTACACTGAGGCTGTACCCTCTGTACAAGTAACAATGGTAGGGCCACGCAGCAGCCTCGGCTGTTGCACGAATGGGCAGGCCCGTCCGGGTAAGTACCACGACCTCACAGAAGACCAGCGTAAAGTGGAAGTATGACGGGCCTGCCCATTCGTGCAACAGCCGAGGCTGCTGCGTGGCCCTACCATGGTAAGGATTAAAGGAAAATTGCTCAGCACTGACATTATTACGTCCTTGTTTAATTACCAAACGACCCCACTCACCCCATATACTCGGTGCTGAGAGAGGTGGACCCCTTGTAGAGTTTGTTGGTGAGGGCGCACAGCGTGGTCAGTTTCTGTTCCAGTGACTGCAGGTAATCCGCCGCTGATGTGAACTCTGGATCCTTGACCCTGAAATTCACAAGCAATTGTATAGATTTATATAAATAAAAAACCTTAGAGCTTGGTTTAGACTGATGATTTTAGTGGTGGTAGGGCCACGCAGCAACCTCGGCTGTTGCACGAATGGGCAGGCCCGTCCGGGTATGTACCATGACCTCACAGAAGACTGGCGTAAAGTGGAAGTATAATACTTTCGCGTTTAGTCTGGTGAGTGAGGTGGCCGGAGCCCAATTTTCAAAAGGTTGCCAACGCAATCTGCAACCCTCGGGTGTAACAGATGTCCATGGGCGGCGGTATTCACTTAACATCAGGTGAACCATCTGCTCGCTTGGTAACTTTTCACATAAAAAACTGATAGAACGGACCTACATCGAATAAATTCAATTCTAAAAATTTAACCAAGCAATCACGGTCTAATTTATACTTCACACATTCCGACATCTTCATTCATTCCACGAGTTTCACAATTAGGTGAAATGTTTTATTTTCATTAAGTAACTAAACATGTTCAGTGGTTATGCAAATTTTAATTTATAGCTACCGTTGACGTAGAATTTGCTCAGTAATTTGTTCAGTAACGAGTCCACCCCTTACTGGAATTCTATTGATTCTTCGCTTGAGTTTTTCTGCGATTCTTCGCTCAGTATGTCTACGTTTCTATTCCCAATTTGTATGCCCATGTATGTTTGTGCATTGAATGTAGGGCTGTCATCCTGTCGGCTTGACGACCCAAATGGCGTTGTGGGTAGTGTATCTGCCTCCTGCGTCAGAGGGTGTGGATTCGATCCCCACTACTGGTAAAATATTGTGTGATGAACATAGTGTTTTTCTAGTGTCTGGGTGTTTATATGTGTATAATATGTATTTACTTACAAAAGAAAAGTATGTTTAAGTATGTTTGTCAGTTTTCTAGTACCCATAGTACAAGCTTTGCTTAGTTTGGGACTAGAGAATGTTGTGTAAAAATGTGTCAAAAAAAAAAATCCTCCCATCGCATACATACCTCGCCCCGTTTCCAGATTTCGAGTCCGCACTGCCGTACAGCGCGCTGCTGAGACCCCAAAGGTTCAGTGCGCTGTTCTCGTTTTTGAATACCTGAATTGATAAAGCAACGCTACTAAAAATATGCCGTAAAAAACATCTTCCGGGCGTCCCGTTACGGCATATTTATTTTTTTTTATCCAAAAAAAAAATGCCGTAACGGGACGCCCGGAAGATGTTTTTTTTTATATAAAAAAAGCGACCAGCCCCGGCTTCGCACGGGTGCTTATTATACATATAAACCTTCCTCTTGAATCTGTTAAAAAAGGGCATTGCGTAGTTTTAAAAATCTAAGCATACATAGGGACAGACACACAGTGGCACGACTTTGTTTTATACTATGTAGTGAAGTTGCCAAGCGAGCAGGCGACTCACCTGATGTTAAGTGAATACTGCCGCCCATGGACATCTGCTACACCCAAGGGTTGCAGACACGTTGACAAACTTTTGAAAAATGGGCTCCGGCCACCTCACTCACCAGACGATACGCGAAAGTATTATACATGCACTTCACGCCGGTCTTCTGTGAGGTCGTGGCACTTACCCGGACGAGCCTGCCCATTCGTGCAACAGCCGAGGCTGCTGCGTGGCCCTACCGCAGTTGGAACAATCAAGTTAACATAAGAACTTATATCACCATCCTTCTCCCTCATCCCACCTAAATGGGGTGGACACAACATGAGATTCGTGTTTTAAGTAGTCTTGGCTATGTTTTTACAACCGGCCGCTTGCCTGACGTCAACCCTCCTTGGGAAACAAAACACCCAGACCCCGAACAATTATTTGTGAGTCGCACAAATACTTACAATCAATAAGAAATAATTATTTAAATTAGCAAGCTCACGATATTATTTTTCATGTGTGATGGTGGCAAACGAGCTGGCGGAGAGATAGCCGCCGCCCACCGATATTTGCCACACCCTAGATCTGCACTTTAATGTAATAGTGAAGACTGTTGCGTGAGCCCACCACAGTCAAGACCCTACCACAGTTAAAAAATCTGTTATACAACCTGGTGGAGCCATAGATAGCGCCTGAATGAAGTCTGGAAGGGAGATTGGCGATTTTAACGGAGTAGGGGGGAGGCACGTACCTTGTCCAACTCCTCATCAGGCGTGGTGAGGAACAGCCTGAAGTCCTCGCTGTGCGTCAAGATCGGGTGCTTCGCTACGCGGTCTGGGGATCATGGCTCGATCAGTGGTGTCACGTGAATTGTAAGGTAGTTTAAACTTTTTATTTCAAGAGGTAGAACGATATAGCTGGCGTAGGGCCACGCAACATTTCGCCGTTGCACGAATGGGCTACGCAAAAACCAAGGTGGCCGTATCACCGTAAATATCATATAATGCTTAGTTGTAGTGTGATAAAACATAGTTTCTGTTCTCTAATTCAAGTTTGTTTTATTATTAAGTTAAACATGCTTTATTACACCAATCCTTGGTTAGTATTTAATTTAATTATTTCTTTTTGGCTGTTGTCAATAAAACTTTTGAATCGTTTCACCTGTAATTCAGATATCATTTAGTTTAAGATACTATGTACTTTTTAATGTTCTAAGCATGTTTTGATGTGTATCTTGTCGGTGAAGTAAATAAATAAAACTCAAAAAAAATATATCTGTGTGTTCTGTATGTAGTTTAGTTGGTAAGCCTTAATAAATAAATAATGATTTCGACAAGAGTGAATAGGCTTCTACTGAGCTAGCGAGCTTACCATCCAGGGCTGCATCGCCACTTACCATCAGGTGGGATGGCAGTCAAGTGCTAGGCAGTGCCATATAAAAAAACTGGTATCACAGGGCGTACCGAGGAACGCGTGGAGAGCTAGCGCGCGTATGTGCACGAACGCGGGCTGGTATCTGTCCAGCTGCTGGCGGGCAGAGTGCAGCGGTGGCAGCGCCGGCGGGGCCAGGAGCGGGTTGGCGGCGCAGAGCCGCCGGTGCAGCATCTGCAACCGCCCCAACACTCATCATTCGCCACGGCCCGAGGTATACCGAGTTGGCAAAAGCCGCACCTTGCCACAGTCACCGCCAGTACCAACCCACAAATCCAAAACACTCGCAACAACTATCTACCTTCAAGAAGATAGCATACTCTTTCCTTAAACGCCGGCAACGCATTTGTAAGCCCTCTGGTGTTGCAGGTGTCCATGGGCGGCGGTGATCACTTACCATCAGGTGAGCCTCCCGCTCGTTTGCCTTTCCCATAAAAAAAAAACTGCATTCAACGGTGGCAAAACTTCCACTGTGTTAGAATGCTTCCAACACTGCCAGATACGCCCTGACAACAACTGCCACCAATGTACAAGCAAATCAGCAGTGAACCTTTTATTTATAGTCTCGTAATAGCACTGAAACTAATTTAAATTGCCACCAGTCGCTATTAATGGAATTAGATAATGGTTACCAAATCAGATGTGGTCAACAAATTGACCTAAGGAAATCCCATTACAACAATTCAACTCGTCTATAATTTATGAAAGCTTCAATTAATCCAATCTTAGGTTCTATTTTTATTTCTCATTGGGTGAATAGGAATACAGGAAAAACTTGTATGATTTGTTTTTTATTTTGAGCCTATCCTCATTTACAATTACCAGACGTAAATACTAAATGAGTCTATGAGCTAAATACTCATTTAGACTGAATAATGCTGTGGTCATTCAAATCAACATTTCTTTGTTTAAGCTCTCTAGCTTCAGCTTTTTGCACGTTCAGTCGATCGCAATGATGACCGAAAAATCTAGAGTGTAGCATGGTCAATCGTAAAACGAGTCTCCTAATAGCGATGGCCGGACCTTGAAGTGGTTGTACCGCCTCCTGACGTAGGGTGGGGTGGGCCAGCGGGCGCATACGCAGCGCACACGGTAAGTCACGTACGTTTCCAGCGTGGACAGCTGTTTCATTGGTGCATCCACCTAAAACCAGACTATATGTGAGTACAGTTACCAGAAAATACATAAATAAAATATAAAAAGAATAGGCTAATTGTTTAAGAAAACTACCTTGCGAATACAAAAAATATAAATGTTAATACATTTGTGAATCCAAGGTCATACAAACAATTTTTACTCTTAAGATGGCTCAGATACAAAGAATGCTTTCTAAAAGTTTGATTTACAAGTTATTTCCTAAAATGTTTAAGGAAGATGGACTGAGAAGAAGGGACTGAGTTTAATAAAAACTAAAATAAAAAATAAATAAATAAAAAATAAAAATTATTGCGGTAAATAAACACAATACTATAAAAGATTTAGTACAAGTGATCATTTAATCATAAGCAATTATTTTGATGCTCACTACAGCATAAATACATGATAAATAGAGCCCTGACGAAGATCATGGACTATTGTTAAATGAAAATATTGTTATGGATTGTTGATGTTGCCAATACTTTTTCTTTCATGGTCATGAGTAACACCTGTTTTATTCAATAATTTGTGTACTTTTATATAAGGGAGGTCACTCCCTTCACTTTCCACTTAAATTATGACTATGGAAACATAACACATATTAAAGCACAAAATTTATCATATGTAATAATGATATATGTTGAAAATTAACACAAGAAACTTTGTTTTGTGATTCAGCATACCGGCATCTTTTGGCATCAAACAATAATTTCCATTGAAAATGATACCTTTTAGCCGCAGAACTTGTTTTTAAAATGTTTTAGTGTGAATACTTTACATTCAAGAAGAGAAATTATGTGGTACAAATAGACCTATATGCATAGATATCTTACTTTTATGGCAATATCATAGCCATGCTCCATGATTAGCGGAGCCCCTTCAATTGCATCGTCAGTTACACTCTGTGCGTCTGTATCTTCTGTGATGTCAGCATCATTTAGCTCCAGCACTGCTGAGCTGGTGTCACTCGCCATGACTCTGAATGGCAGGTAACAAATTTATATTGTTCTGTTCTTCACAATAACTTCTACTAGGTGTTTAGCAAAATTCAAATCAGAATTTATGACAAACATACTACAAACTATCTACAAAATCAAAACAATCAGAAAAACAATTTTTAAAATTGTATAAGTTTAAAAAAAAATATATTTTATTGCACTTAGAAGCAACTAGTTTTATTTACTCTTTTCAGTGAAAAGTGCCATGCTATAATCAATAACTCAATACTTTTTTAATGTCAGTAATTAAAACATGTTAACATGTTAACATGTTCGATTCCCACAGCGGCGGCAATCTTTTCGCACTTTTTCTACATATTTTAATGTTAACAAACTTTAAATAACAATAATAATATTACACAGCGAATTATTCTATACAATGATAACGCAAGTAACGAGCTTAACAAAGTGCGCTCAGTGCGTCAGTGCTTAATCATTATTAAAAAAACATACCGTAAGCCGATAACTAATAAAAACCGTGATTAAAATATATAGAAAGGTTTGGCCTAAATATTCGGATCGATACTGCATATACGCCGTCATCGAAAGCCGAATTATATACGGGAACTACATAATCAACAAAAGTGCCATAAAAAAATGTAATATTTACCTTTTAAGAAAACTTTTGTTCGAATTTAATTTTGTAGTGTACGATTAAGATATATTTTGGGAAGCAAATATGAAACACCTACTCCTACCTAGCAGCGACCGAAGTGACAAATGTCAAACAGTGACACTGACGTCTAAAGTTCTAGGAAATTAGAAGTCATTCGTTCCAAAACTTCGATGGTCCTGAATATCGATTTAAATGAAAGTTTTGGCGGCGTTGTTGGACAGGCGTTACAGAATAGCTGCTGCACGACTACAACGTGCCGTTGTTCATTCCACTGCAACTTCGCGACCTCTTTAGATAAAAAACATAAAATCGACTAACAACAACAGGGCATGACACGCTCCAATGGCCTCTCTTATAGATCCAAACCGCAGTCAATAGTTGTTAATTTTCAATTTTAGTACAAGAAGGGGAATTTCCGAATCTAGACAGTAATAGCGAAAAATTTCCCAACAGTTTTATTTACACATTTTATATTAAGATAAATGGAAGGTTTCAATTAACAAAACTGTAAACTGTGTGACTGTCGGTATATCGAGGTGCTGAGGTGTTTGTATGGCAAGGCTACGATGTCCGTCCAAGTACAGTCCAGTAGTACAAAACCTATCCAACTGCAGAAGGGTGTAAGACAGGGTGATGTCATATCCCCGAAACTCTTCACCGCTGCGTTGGAAGATGTTTTCAAGCTTCTGGACTGGAAAGGACGAGGTATTAACATCAGTGGCGAATACATCACCCACCTTCGATTTGCCGACGATATAGTCATCATGGCAGAATCGCTGGAGGACCTGGGTGCTATGCTCAATGACCACAACAGTGTCTCCCAACGGGTGGGCCTTAAGATGAACATGGACAAGACGAAGATCATGTCTAATGTCCATGTCACGCCTATACCGGTTGTTGTTGGGAGCACTGAGCTCGAAGTTGTTGACGAGTACGTTTATCTAGGACAGTTAGTCCGGCTAGGTAAGTCCAACTTCGACGCAGAGGTCAATTGGCGAATCAAACTCGGATGGGCAGCGTTCGGGAAACTTCGGAAAATCTTCTCGTCGAATATACCTCAATGTTTGAAGACTAAAGTCTTCAATCAATGTGTGTTGCCAGTGATGACCTACGGAACCGAGACATGGTATGCATCTACCTGCTGGCCGTATGAGGAAGCTCAAAGTCGCTCAGCGAGCTATGGAGCGGGCTATGCTCGGTATTTCTCTGCGTGATAGAGTTCGTAACGAAGACGTCCACAGTAGAACTAAGATAACCGATATAGCTCAGAGGATTAGCAAGCTGAAGTGGCGATAGGCCGGCTATATAGCTCGTAGAACCGATAACCGTTGGGGAAGAAAGGTTCTCGAGTGGCAGCCTCGTACTGGCCATCGCAGTGTAGGACGACCCCCCACTAGATGGAGTGACGATCTGTGCAAATGTGCGGGAAGTCGATGGATGCAGGTGGCTCAGGATCGTACTTCATGGCAGTCTGTGGGGGAGGCCTATGTTCAGCAGTGGACTCAAACAGGCTGAAATGATGATGAATGATGAATTAACAAAATCAATTAATTTACGAATGTAATATGTTTCAGTTTCGTTTTAAATGTTAGAGACTAACACTTAAATTAAAAACAATAGTAAATGCGGCATCCTTTTCAAATATTCATTAAAAGTGTCATTTAAGAAAGCGTGTTTGCTACAAAAGAACCACTAAAATAATACTATGAAATACGAGAAGAATGAAGACATTGAAATTTTCGGCCGGTGAGGATCCCGACCGCTTAGCTCGGTAGCTAGAGCGTTTGGACCCGTATCCGTAAGGCACAGGCTCAAATCTTGGTAGCCGCAAATATTTTCCGACTGTTTTATCTACACATTTTATATTTACGTAAATACAAGATATACGAAAATAGTCAATTAACAAAACCAATTAGTTTACGAAGTTCCGTATTTAATTATCCATTATATATCTAAGTGTACAAATATATTGTTCTTTCTGATTATTCTGTTTCTTTCACACGTGTGACGTTTATTAGTTTTTATTTTCTTTCAAAATCTGTCATTTGCCAATGCCATATTGCATTTTTCTGTTCCTGTATCTATTTATCTAACCAAATAGTTAACACTAAATTTACCTTAAAGTTTAATAAAAAGTAGCCACAATTGCTTCCAAAATGCAAAACGTTAATGCTCCACGGGAGCCCGCTCCCGTGCTGAGCACCAGTTCAACAATTCTCAATATGCGAGAGAAAGAGAAATACATTGAGGATTTCGACTTTCCCTTTTGTGACGAGTCCTCTAAGTACGAAAAGGTAGCGAAAATTGGACAGGGCACCTTCGGGGAGGTGTTCAAAGCGCGCGCAAGGAACAGCAACAAAAAGTTTGTCGCTATGAAGAAAGTATTGATGGACAACGAAAAAGAGGGCTTCCCCATTACGGCCCTGCGCGAAATCAAGATTCTTCAACTGCTGAAGCATGACAACGTTGTCAACCTGATAGAAATATGTCGGACGAAGGCGACGTTGCACAACAAATACCGTTCGACGTTTTATTTGGTGTTCGACTTTTGTGAGCACGATTTGGCGGGTCTACTTTCCAATGTGAACGTCAAATTCAGCTTAGGCGAGATCAAAAAGGTTATGCAGCAACTGCTCAATGGATTGTACTATATACACAGCAATAAGATATTGCACAGAGACATGAAAGCGGCGAATGTGTTGATTACAAAGAACGGTGTCTTGAAACTAGCAGACTTTGGGCTGGCGCGGGCTTTCAGTGTCGCCAAAGCGGGGCAGGTGAACAAGTACACTAACAGAGTAGTCACCCTTTGGTATAGGCCTCCGGAATTATTGTTGGGTAATTTTATTCAAGTTTGTGTGTTATTTTGTAGTACCAAATATAAAAATCTACTCTGTTAGGGTTAAACACCTTTTAACCCTAACAGAGTAGATTTAATAATATTTATTTCCTCTTTAATTGCAAAGCCGCATATGACTCTATGGCCCAGCTACCAAGGTATTGGCTTTAGCCCAGGGGTCATAGGTTTGATTCTTGAATGAGACAACTATTGTGTGACCCACACATGATTGTTTCAGATCTGGGTATTTGTCCGTATGAAATTTATGTACGTCAATTTTCCTAAAAGCCCAGGTTAATGTTATCCTACAATAAGGGCAATGTTCTTAAAAAAATAACGCATACAGTTTTGACTACACATACTCAAAACATATAAATAAATATTTATATTTTAAAGAAAAGTTGTCCTGATCCATGTATCTCACAGCCATAAACTATCTGTAATGGGTCTCTGATGCCAATAAAATCCATACTTTAATAAAGTATTTATAATGATATCAAACAAGCAATGAGTTATTTAATTGCTCAAACAATTGCCAAATGTTAAATGCTGAAAACAATTAGGCAATTAATTCAGCATAAATTGTTGCTATGCATTTGCATAAATCCCAACTAGTGTGCCATAAGCTTGGGTTTATTTAGGCTCATAAAAATACATTTATCATTCTAGGTGATAGAAACTACGGGCCGCCAGTGGACATGTGGGGTGCGGGATGCATTATGGCCGAAATGTGGACCAGATCGCCCATCATGCAGGTATATATACCAATATAAACTGTATACAATTTTAACATATTAGGATTTCCATATTACGTCTTCAGGGTTGACCCAATATTGAGGTATTGTAATATAAAGTAGTAATGTGAATGAGACCAAATTGTGTGTTTACTGTCAGTGAGACAGCCAACTGTTTTTTTATTTGCAAAGGAGAATATAATTTTCCTTTTTTTATTTATTTAGGCACATCAACAGTTCACACATTATCTAGTAAAATACAACACTTAAGTTAGATAAGAGAACCAATTACAGTCCACAATTTTTTATAAATAGTCTTAAAAAAAATTAGATCACTTAAGTTGTTAAGATTTTTATTCTTCTTCTTTTCGTCTCGATGGATTTGCCATCCTGTTGTAGTAATTACTTTCTGCCGCTACTCATCGTGAGGGCCCCAGTGAAGGTGACGCTGTACAGGAAGACTTACTACGTTAAGATTTTTATTAGAAATAATAAAATATAGTTAAATAATTAATTGACCTGTAGCAGATCGCATATAAAGAGATCATTACCAAAACTGTGTTAATGTTTTGTTATTGTGAAAAATCTGTTAACGGGCAAATTAAAAAGTATGCTAGTTACAGTCCAACATTATTTTAACATGTGCTAGAAGAAGCTTAAATTCTTATACACATTGAATAAAAGTCACAAATTCAGTGAACAAATGTCATAAATTCAGAGCTGAGTAAGGCATAAGTTTACTAAACCATTTCAATCAACCTCAATTGCCCCTGCAGGGTCCAACGGAACAGCAACAGTTGATCCTAATATCGCAGCTGTGCGGCTCGTGCACGCCCGACGTGTGGCCCGGGGTTGAAAACTTGGACCTGTATAACAAGATGGAGTTACCCAAGGGACAGAAACGGAAGGTCAAGGTGTGTGCACATAACTTCTTCACCACTTGGGATTTTTTAAAGCAAAGCACACATGGACTTTTTAAATGTGTTTGCTGTCCCATCAAATAATTACGTAACATCATAGTTTTGGTTTTGCTTTACATCAGAATGGCAACCAATTGTGTAAAATATAGCTAATCTTATATTATTATATAGCCATACCAAAGAAGGACAGTACCACGTAGAGGTAAGTTTTGGCTGTGGAACATCAATTGAAAGTTCAATACATATTGATATTTATGTATCAATGTATAACAGATTTTTCGGCACGTACACTTTTTAAGAAATAACAGCAAGAAATGTACAAAGATATAATTACAGCTCCATTATTCTCCCTCTTGATATTTCTTACCCTCATGCACTATATTTACGTCACCATATGTGACCATGGGGCAGATGTTGTTATTGCCTTCGGTGCCTAGGATTGAATTCGATTCCCAAAGGATGAATTTTTTTGTAAAGAAACAACCAATACCATTCATAACATGATTCACATGCTTAGTCTACCCCACCTGTATCCAATAAAGGCAAAAGAAAGGACAAGAAGTCACCATATTTGATCAATTGCTTTGGCTTCCCTATTGGCCTGCGCATGCTAACTAAATGGTTTAACTTCTTACAGAAGTTATTCTTACCTTATTCTATAATCTTCGCTGATTGACAATTTTCATTTTCCAGGAAAGGTTGAAGCCTTATGTCAAAGATCCCTATGGCTGCGATCTACTTGACAAACTGCTGCAGTTAGATCCAGCGAAAAGGTAGTGTGTAATAAATCAACTTATTTTATAAATAATTTCATTTTAGCAATTACATTGGATTCATTCCTTTTCTTTATCTATTATTTAATAGTGTTTTCTTTACTAAAAAGCTCTTTATGTGCACTTCTTAGTAGTACCAAATGTAACCTTTTACAAACAAACAAATCAAAGTCTGACGATATTATCCAAGATTTTTAAATTAAATTTTTGTTAAAAATTCTACAAAATTTTAATGGTTCATTATTTTGTTATTATTGTTTGATATTTAGTTATTGTTTTATTATTTTTGTAGAGTCATTTTACATATAGTTATTTCGGAGAGACATCTAGCTTGTACTTATAATAATTATTAAGTTATCACACATATTTGTCTTTATGTACATGTTGTAATTGCCTTTAAGTGGAATCATGTTAGATTTTGTTCCTAAGACTATTGTCTTATTCAATTCCAAAACATGTTATTCCGTTGCTGGTACTTTACAACATGATTTATATTTATAACATAAATGACTATCATGTAATACTGACATTTAATAATTTGACATAGGTATGTAATATCCGTATAATAATTTTAATGTTTTAACGGAATAATTTATTATGTTCAAATGTTTTGATTTGAATAATTGATTATTTTTTTAATATTTTAATGTAAATAATTTTATATCAAATTGACATTTGCATGCTGAAGTCTGCTGAATGTGTTGCACCAAATTATTATAATTAAGATCAACGCACTACCATATTCTGGCAATGAAGACATTCATTTATATTCTCACTAGCTTTTCGCTCGCGTTGAAGCCCTTAAATAAATATCCTAGACTATCCGTGTACCAAATATCATTTATATCAGTTCAATGGTTTTGGAGTGGAAGCGAGACAGACGGACAGAGTTACTTTCGCATTTATAATATTCTTTAAATAAATAACTCACTGCAGGTACGACGCGGACACGGCGCTGAACCACGACTTCTTCTGGACGGACCCGATGCCCTGCGACCTGGGCAACATGCTGGCGCAGCACACGCAGAGCATGTTCGAGTACCTGGCGCCGCCGCGCAGGCCCGGCCACTTGCGCCACCACCATCACGTGGCGGGCGCGCAGCCAAAGCCCGCTCAGCCAGTCGCCGACTCGGGCTACCAGGACCGGGTGTTCTGAGCCGGCCGGCGGCGGCGCGGCGGGCGGGGCAGGGGCGGAGGAGCTTAGTGACGGCACACTGTAGCCGGGAATGTGTGACCGCTGGGTCTGTGAAGTTGTGGCTAGCCAGACAAGCAGTGATTCTCTGGAGGGTTGTGAATTTAAAAGCAGAATGTGTGGTGAACTTCTACTTGGTGTTTGATCCAGTGTTTAACTGAGGGGAGTCCGGCAACCACTTTCAGCATGGTACTAATCTGTGGTGGGGAAGTAAAATTACCGAATTACCCCTCACTAGTGTAGTTTGTGACATTTGGCCAGGAGAGAGACATGTGCTGATGGGTCCGTGGAGTTTTGGCTAGCCCGACAATCAGTTATCATGGTTATAGTGATTCTCTGGAGGTTTGTGAATTTCAAAGCATTACAAAACATTCTATTGTGAGCTTCTACTCAGCGGTGTTTGGTCCAGTGGTAACTGAAGGAGGGGAGTGCAGTATCCGCTTTCAGCATGGGACTAATCTGTGGTGAGGAAGTAAAATTACTAAATTCCTCCTCACCAGTGTAGTTTGTGACATGTGGTGGTTAGTGTGTTGTCAGTGATTTAGTGGGATGGCGGGAGGAGAGTGTACAGTGAGTTGCTACTCCTTTAGGCCTCCTTTGGCCCTCCGCGAAGTCTGTATGTATGTCTATTTTGGGCAGGACCAGCTGTGAAACCTATTAATAAGTTGAAGTGGATCTGTAGGGAAATTCTATACAGTGAAGCTCTACTTTGCAGCCTAATGGACTGCATTATATTAATTTGCTACTGGGGAAAGACCAATATAAAATTATTGGGTGATTGTTGTTGTTTTGGTGACTACAACAGATATAAATATTGATGATGAGTGCAGTTAAATGTGCACTGTAGATAAATAAGCTCTGAATTTCAGTTATTAACTTGTATTAATTGTGAATTTTAATTTTTTTTGTCACTCTTCAACCATGTATTTATAAATAGGGTAAAGAACTGATTTTATTTTTTTTTAAAAACATTTGATTCAACATACTTGTGGGTTTTTAAGTTATTATTTTGAACTTCCACTCAACCATTGAGGTGCAAGAAAGGTTTTTGGATGTCATTACTTTTCATTAGTCTATTTATCCGGCTTGATAGAGCGAAAAATTGTTTTAGAACGAAACAGTTACACAAATTGTTGTTTATTCTTATAACTATCAAAATTTGTGAACCGAATTGGCGTAGTGGTTAGTGGACCTGTTTACAGAGCATAAGGGTTTGGGTTCTATCACCTGTGTTCCTTTTGTTAAACGCTTAGTTTATACAGCGTGTTGTTACCATCGCGACAATAAATGAACACACATATAGGGGATAACTTTTTAAAGTTGTATTAAACATTTAAATTCTTTAAACATCAATATTTACAGAGTTATTAAATTTTCCAAATCAAAGAATTTTAGAGCCTTACCTATAAAAGCGTAACGTAAAGTTCATTTGTAAAGGTCACAAAGCATATGAATGGGTTGAAAGAATTTAAAAGATACAAAACATACAGTTAGAAGAAGAGGCTTGTAATACGACGCTGTGGCGCGAGTTGTATAGGATGTTACAAATTTTGTTTCTTTTTTACTAATAAGTTTGTTTGAAAAATATTTTTTTTTTAGTTATGGATTTTGTTTAACGTTAAAATTTTTATATGCTTATTGGCAAGTAGCGTTAGACGTGCCTTCATTTATTGTCGCGATGGTAACGACGCGCTGTATATCAATATTATGTATGCTGGCGTCGCTGTGCCACTATTAATTCAACCGTCGCCGAGCTCGAATTTTCTGCCCTTCAGTGAATGCCAGCCTCTGTAGCTTGATGGAGGGGAGTTAGAGACGGGTTCGGTGGTGGGATTGGTGCCACTTAAGACCAGACGTAAGCACCCATAGTCATGACCGAAATGCGACATGTATTTATTTACAAAAAAAAGGATGTTTAAGTATGTTTATCATTTAGCTAGTGTCCCTAGTACAAGCTTTGCTTAGTTTGGGGCTAGATAATGTTGTGTAAACTTATCCTGAAATATTTATTATTGTATATCACTAATAGTAATAAGTATTCCAGGATATAAATTATCATAATAACTAAATGGGAATAATAGTAATTTTGCATCACCATATTTTAATACATCATTTTATAAATTTAATAACATGTACCTACACTATACAATTAAAAAGAGAAAAAGAAAAACTTCGGCCTATAATTGTAAAAATGACATGTAAAGGAAAATGGTATTTATAACAAATAATCTTTAAATCTTGTCCAAGTATATTATATGAGTAAAATAGTGGCTATAATTATTTTTATGACTTTTATTTATTGGGTTTCAGTATAGTAATTTGTACTGTGGTAGGGCCACGCAGCAGCCTCGCCTGTTGCACGAATGGGCAGGCCCGTCCGGGTAAGTACCACGACCCCACAGAAGACCAGCGTTTGGTGAGTGAGGTAGCCGAAGCCCAATTTTCAAAAGGTTGACATCGCATCTGTAACCCTCGGGTGTAGCAGATGTCCATGGGCGGCGGTATTCACTAAAAAAAAATGTAACAAGCTTAAATTCAATATAATACACAAATATATACAATTAATTGTATAAATTTTTAAACATGGCAACCCTAAGTTGTTATGAATTATTTTATCAAACTTAACTTAAATTTGTGTTTGTTGAAACCAATCAATATGTGAAATGTAATTATATAATATAATAGTAGGTACATTGAATGTAAAATAATAAATATTTTATTTTAGATTAGTGTTATAAGTCCAAAAAAGTAAAATTATTTGCTGTAATATTAAGAAATAAGGTGAAATGTTGAATGTGATATGCATTTCGGGATACATTCTTAAGACTGTGCTTGAAAAATATATTATTAATACTGTCAACGATTCTGTGATTAACAAAAATAAATGGGATGAAGTAACCATATCAAGGTTTACCTTTTACTTACATTTCCTTTATATCATTGTATTTGTGGTTTGCTTTAAAGATTTTTGCCTGTATTTCTTCAAATGAAATGATTTATTGAATTCTTGTTTACTTTAATCTTTTAAAGGTTTTTGAAATTCAGTTCTGGATTATCAGGAGGATATATATTGGATAGAAAAGATTGCCTGATTGAATTGGAGGGTTATGTATGACTGTTACACTCTCTAAATTGACCAGAATGATCAATTCAAAGAGTTTAACCATCCTTTTAGCAATTCAAGTGACATTTGAAAAGCCATTTGACAGCTGATTAGCTAACATGTCGCATCTAGACAAATTAATTATAATCAAAGGAAAATATCATATAAAAAGAAACCGAATCTTGAAGAACTTACAAACATTGCTCCGGAGCCCTCTTAAATAAAACACATGAATTATCAAAAATTACTTTATAATTGTAGCCATTTATAACATTTTGTTTAAAATCGTTTCACCAGTTTGAATGACATAGTTCATATTACAAAGAAATAAAATATTTCATATTGTAAGTATATAATAAAACATTTTATATACCTTCTGTAGAAGGTATATACAGCGTCTCGTTACTACCGCGACAATAAATGAACACACGTCTAACGCTACTTGCCAATAATCATAAAAAAATATTAACGTTAAAAAATATATTCCATAATTAAAAAAAATATTTTTCAAAAAAACTAATTAAGTAAAAAGAAACTAAATTTGTAACACCTTACAACCACAACTGACTGATTCATACATTCAGAGATTTTTTCATTCGTTGCCACAGCGTCGCTTTGCAAGCCTCTCCTTCTAACAGTACTTATGTTTTGTCTCTTTTAAATTCATTCAACCCATTCATATGCTTTGTGACCTTTACAAATGAACTTTACGTTACAGTTTTATACGTAAGGCTGTTCTAAAATTCTTTGTTTTGGAAAATTTAATAACTGTGTAAATATTGATGTATAAAGAATAAATTTTTGATACAATTTTAAAAAGTTATCCTCTATATGTGTATTCATTTATTGTCGCGGTGGTAACGACACGCTGTATATTATGTGTATATAGTATACCTTAATTTTAAATACCATAAAGATAGGTAAACTATCTCATAATGGATAACAATGATGTACTAAAATGAAAATAATATATTAAATATAATTCTAATAATAAAAATAAAAATAAATTAATAAAAAAATCATAATAATAAAATATAATTGAAATTTTAAAACAAATTATAATTGAACCTTCATAAACATATCAATAATTAATAACAAGTTGATACAATTGATAAACAACTCAATAGTCAATTAAAAGCTTTGAGTGGCATAGGAATTGAGAGAAATTATACTATGATAACTTACACATTTTTAGGTTAATAATTGTAAATATAACTAGTCAACATTAGTCTCACTTCTCACTTTGGCAGCATAGCTATTGTTCTTGTGGAGCTTTGTCTTCACATGCTTGTAGAGGGTGCGCTTCCGGTTAAACTTGATGTTACACACGTCACACTTGAAGCGTTTCACTTTGATATGGGCTACTTCTGTGTGCTCGCGAAGGTTCTGGAATGTTGTAAACGACCGCTCGCATCGGGGACACTTGTACAGACCGTAGCCCATGTGCTTTCTAACATGTTGTATTATGCTGTTCCTGTGGTAGAACTGTTGACCGCACACATCGCACTGGTACCTTTTCTCGGGGTCATGGGTGATTTGGTGCAGCTTAAGGCTTGTTTTGAGGGGGAACTTTTGGAAGCATACTGTGCATTCGAATGGAAGGGATTTTGTATGGCTCTTCAAGTGTATCCGCCTGAGGCCGGCCCGGGAGAATCCTTTGCCACAGTACAGACACTGGAACACCTTAACACCGGTGTGCGAGAACATGTGCTCGACGTGGTCGCGTTTCGTGTGGCAACTCTTGCCGCACTCAACGCACAGTATGCCAGCTCTGTGGACGTTACGTCTGTGTGTTTGGTAGTCCTTGTTTTGCTTGTAAGTTAACCCGCAGTCTGGGCATTTGATTTTTCTGTCAAAGTGAGTGGCTAAGTGCTCTTTGAAGCTCTTCTTCAGTTGGTACGTGCGGGAGCACTCTATGCATTTGAAAATGGTGGTCTTCGTGTGCCTAAGTCCGTGGTATAGGTAGTCCAGGTGTTTGGAGAATGCCACTTTGCACTTCTTGCAGGTGAAACACAGGTCCTCTTTTTCGTGGACGTACTTGTGTTCGATCAAGTCCTCGTTAGTTTTGAATGTGTCCTCACAGAGGGAGCACGTGAATGTCACTCCTTTAGCGCTGAAATGTGTCCTCAAGTGCAGGTTTAAAGCTCGTGGAGTCCAGAAGGTCTCTGGGCACTGGTCGCAAGTGTAAATGGTTTCCTGCTTCTTCATTTCAGTCGGCAATGGGCTCGATGTCTCTTCCCTATCACTCCAATCACTGTCCTCCAATGATTTCCTTCTCTTCTTCTTTTTTCTGAAATTAATATATAAATCAACTTATCTTGTAGTTTGATAAAATCAAAAATATATTTATTCACAGAGACGCTTGCGCGTTCTTATGAAATGTCAAAAATTTTACATAAAAATTAATACGTTCGTAAGTTACCACCGGTTCGGAAAGCAGTTTCTGTTGAGAAGAAACCGGCAAGATACCCAACAGTTGCTCTTTTTTAAAACGATTACTTTACAATGTAATAGAACAAGTATATCATTTTAGCCTACGTGACATTATCTATCAACAAAGCATTAACCCCACACATTGGCGTCGTAAAGATATTCTGCAATGGTATAATATGCCTTAGCCATAAGTTTGCTTTTAATTTTGCGTTTAAATTCATCTAGTGGCAGAATTACAAGATATGGTATGATACTTATTTCTCTCTAGATAACGGGTATTTGCAATGAAGCCAATAAAAACAAAAAGACGTCGAGATTTTCTTGCGATGGAAGCGAAGGACTACATAGGTTTATAGTTGTAGTATCTAGACGCGTTAGCACTATCTACTCATTTTAATGTACATATTATTAGCTCATTAATTAACCTGACAGAGTACTTGGAAAACTTTTTAATGATATGAAATTTTAATATTTCTTTCACATAATTGCGGCCCTATTAAAATAACAAAGAAACGTAAATAACACAAATTTAATGAAATGTCATAAAAACATATTAATAAATTTTAACTTGTGTGATAACACATATTAGAGTCCAGCTTCATTGACATGGATCATTAAGTTGCCATTTTTCAAAAAACAGTCTAACTGTGGTAGGGCCACGCAACAGTGTTCACTGTTGCACTAATGGGCAGGTCTGTCCGGCTAAGTACCATGATCTCACAGAAGACCTGCCCAAAGTAGAAAAGTTACACTTCTGCGTTTCGTCTGGTAAGTGAGGTAGCCGGGGCCCGCTTTATTTAAATGTGGCAACCCAGCTACAACCTTACGGGTGTTGCAAATGTCCATGGGCGGTGGTTATCACTTAACATCAGGTGAATCGCCAGTTCGTTTGCCACTTTATCACATAAAAATAAAATAACATACCAATATGCCACACTTAATACTTGTCACATAATGGCATCAATCCTCATATATTTAATATATGTAAAGCCAATACATGTCCCGCTGCTAGGCAAAGGCCTCCTTTATACTGAGGGTATTAGGGCATAGTCAGCCATACCACCCGACTGCGGATAGGCGGTCTTCACATATCGTCGCAATATTTTTTATTATTTAGAAAATATGTAACAATGTTTTTCTTCACATATGACAAATCAGCGATTAAAATTTACAATTTCATTGGTGTTGGCACTGAGAGATTTAAACTCAGGTTTCGGGTCATTTATTATAAAATTATAATAACATTCTAAATTTAAAAGTTCACATATATATTTCAGCTTTCAGGGTCAAATAATAACAAATAATTAACATAACAGTAAAGGTACAAAACACTTTAAATTTGTGACTCTTTTTGGGTAGCAACATAAAAATCAATCAGAAATTCTTGTGTTTAGGATTTAATAAGCATGTTAAAAATCCACAAAACCTGACAAAGCCTGGGAGCTTTTTATACTTTGTATGTATACCTTTTAACATCCAGCCTTATATGATCCTTATCTCACATATAAGTATTTCCAAAATAGACTGCTTACCTATACCGACAAAAACACAATAAGTAACTAGAAACTGCTAGTCATGTATACCTTAACAATGTAACAAAGCCAGGATAAAGCAGAAATGCAATGTCAGCGTGGTCTGTTATTGTATCTCAAATTCTAAGTAGTAGAAAGTAAACACAATAGCCACTGGCATCATTATGGTTTCATATATCATATTATCAATATTTTTAGGTTTCATACCTTCAAGGGAAAATAAGGAACCATTATAAGATCACTCTCTTGTCGGTCTGTCCCTTCCTGTAACACCACCAATTTTGTCAGGAACTGGTGGACCCAGCGAGTTTAAATTAATAACAGATACTGAGGTCTGTAGTTGTTGTGTATAAAATCAAAGCATTAAGTCAACATGATAAAAAATATGGGCGAATTTAGATTTTCGCGAAAACTTGTAATTAAAAAATTTTTATTTCAATATTTTTAATTTTTTGGTATTTTCCGTTAGCTTTTGCTGTAAGCACAAATGAAGGGAAAATTCTAAAATAATCAAAGAAACTCTATATTTGCCTATATCTTTTTATCGTGTTGACTCAGGAACTTGATTTTTTTACACCTAATAAGGACTAAAGCACCTATGTTCAGCAGTGGACTCAAACAGGCTGAAATGATGATGATGATGGACTAAAGACCTCAGTATTTGGTATTATTTCGAGTTCCTGAGAAAATCGGTGGTTATTATTTACCAATTGTAATAATATGACGGTTTAGTGGGTAGGTACGGAACCCTGGGCGTATGAGGTTGATATCTATCGTTATATAAGAATGAAATGTAAACAAATAGTAAAATGCATCAGAGGTATTTTAAGAAGTAGTTTCTAATAACACAAGTAGACTGGGTAGGATAAGTAAATCTTTATGGGATAAAGTTCAACAACAAAAGCCCAGAAAACATTCAAAATACATCAATAGCTAAATTCAATATATTAAGTAATAACATTTCTATTTAAATAATGTCACACTCTGGTAATGAATTGATCGCTCCAGGCTCTTTCAATCAGAGTTTTTATATTGTATTTATAATATTTTCATGTCACACTGTGCATGTCAAAAAATGAAAAAAAAAAAAGAGCCCGCTAAGCTTCCTTCGCCGGTTGTTCTCATTCTCAGTACAGTGGCTTTCTTTTCTGAACCGGTGGTATTATTTTGACTATCAATAAAAATGAGTGTAATGCTCCCACGTTGAATAAAGATATTTGAATTTAATAAATAATCACCAAGGAGTCAAATTGTTGCGTGGCCCTTTGCCCAACACTGGGACTCATATAAGCTGTTATTTTATTTTACTTCAGAAAGACCCATACACCTGTATTAATTCTTTATAAACACCCCATTGTCACTTACTTTGTTGGTAACCTTAACTGATTTTTCTGGCTTTCTTCACTGTCGTCAGAATCCATAGTTTTTAATTCATCATCATCCGTGTTGTCAGTAGATGCCGGCCGATCATGATCGCAATTTATATTCTTGATGACACTTCTATATTCTTCACAATTAATTAAAATTTTTACTTCTTTCAAATTATAATCCTCGTAATTTTTATTAAGTTCGTCTCCCATTATAGGCACCATCTATGATAGGTACCAGAGCATAGCATAGTGAAGAATATAATTGAAACATGATTTTAACAAAAAATTGTTCTAGTTATGAAAAATACTAAGCACTTAACATAGATAAGACATATTTACTAGAGATGGTGCGTATTTATGTTACCAGGTTTTGATACTAGGTATTCAATGCAAGTATCCAAACAGGTACCGACTCGAAAATCTTGCAAGGTACTCATACACATAAGGTTTAGAATTTTAGATTGTGCCTAAGCGTGAATTAAATACTTTCAAAGTATTTTACGTCTTGATTTTAATATTTTGAATATTATTTGTATAGCACCAATTTTTAAAGTTGCAAGGAAACAAGTATTTGATTCGTTGCGCTGGACAGAATATACTTTGAAAGTATTTTGATACCTGGTATGAGAAGGTGGACGTACTTTTAAGACCTGGTATGCGATTTAGCAAGTATAACCCATCCCTAATGTATACTGAAGAAAGCACTTAAAGACGTATGTATTTATTTTATGTACATCTAAATAAATCAAAATTAAATAGGTACTTTTTTTATAAAGATTCTATGGTCTGGTAACCACGGGCGTTTCAACTTTCAGTCAGAACAAAACAATATTTTCACTTTCAGTATATATGTCATCTCATAATTAGGATTTGAATGCCAAGTGACCCTGACCACAAAGCTCTTTAGCTATATAACTTAACAATTATAGGTGGCGCTTTGCAAAGAGAATGTAATCACTACGTGGCGCTTTGCTCAATAATTAACTAATATTTGACATACCATATAGAAGAAGCAGTGGAATGTTTTTCTAAAGCAGGATATGATCACTCATATTATACAAGATAAGATCAACATTGGTCAAATAGAAAACTTGCAGTTTGCGATTACATTATTATGGAATGCCAAGAGCATAAGAATCTGGTAGTGAAGGAAATGCAAGATTTGTTATGTCTATTTTTTATATATGCCTACAGGATACAACTAAAATTAAAAAAGGATAAAGATATTGATGTAAATGATAATATTTAAGACATGGCTCGGCAATATTTTGTAAAAAGAACTAAAAAATAAAAGATTTAAATATGATGTGATTGTTTTCTTTGACTAATTTTAAGCAATTTTAATTAGATCATGTTTGTCTTTAATTTGTATATCATTCATACGTTTTAATGAAAATTGCAATGAAAATAGAATTAAACAAAATGCGAAATATCAGTAGCCATTATGAAGTATACAGCTAGGTATGTATATATGGCTATACGTATATTTAACAGCTTTAGTGCTGGTTTAAAATTTTATACGCCTCTTTTTCATTATTTTTGACATTTTTCTTATTTATAACATTTCATGTAGTTTAAGCTTTATTTTATTACTTAAGCAGTCTGCTTTAGCTGAAGTACAGACTTTTAAAGGATTTTGAATATTTTCTAACACATGAAAATTAGGAACACATGTACTTTGAGCTTATGATTAATAGAAAATCGTAGTTGCCTATACACTATAATAAATTTAATTGCTTGGTTATATTTTTTTTTTGGAAGAATTTTATCATTATGAGTTAATTTTACCACGGTTAGCTTGTGCCTAATAATATCACAAAATTTCTTAATTCTGTATTTAGTTACAAGCCATATTATATTCATTCATAATAACATTAATTCTGTTTTTACTGTGAAGGTCTATTTTAAAGGTTTTATGATGTAATATTACACCACTCACAAATAATTTACTTTAATGTTATCTCACAGCACAGAATAGAATTATTCTTTATTAATTATTTATTAACTATTCTCTCTTATATTTTAAGATGCAATTAAGATTAAAAATTTTGAGAAGTGAGAGAAATTTGACTGGATCTGGTGAATCTATTCAAATGCTTTTTGATTTATTATTATGGGGACATTTTGGATATTTTTTTATTTGGTTGGGTTCATAAAAATAAAAATATAGATATATTTAGCATAGCATACATAAAATAAAATTATTATTAATGTATAATTTTAATAACTTGCAGCAATGTACCAATGGATATTGACGTTAGTCCCGTCTGTATTCACCAGCAAATATGGACATAGATGCAACAAACAGAATTAAACAAAAGACGACAAATTCAGTTGAAAATTCTTATGGTGAGTATTTCTTCTAACTTCTAATTAAACAATGATGAATTCAATGAAGATAAATTATTGACACAGAATAATAAAAATATATTAAATTAACACGAAATACATAATTATAGGACAGTTTTTTACAAAGATGTTTTTCTCTCGACTGCACTTGACACACGTTGGAGCAGTAGGTACAAATTTTCAAATTTAATACTGTTATCTGTAAGTGGCCAGTAATCCTTAGCGGAATGTTATGAAATCTCTAACAAAGTGGGCCCTGGTTATCTCATTCGCCAGATGAAACACGAATGTATATTTCCGCTTTAAACTTGTCTTTTATGAGGCCTTGGTGCTACACTGTGCGTAGCATGGCATTCTTGTAACAGTAAAAGTTGCTGTTTAGGCCTTGTACAACTTAGTCCGAAGATGTCAAAGCCGCACACTAAAAAACTACACACATGAAAAAAGAAATTTTAAAAATCGGTATAGTAAAAATGAAACGTATCCCTAACATGGTTGTACAGCCCTATGGGTGTACGCTATAGCTATAATCTTTAGGTATATTAGTAAAAACAAACTGTCAAAGTCATTTATCATGTCAAACGTTTTATTACTTAAATATTTACATTGGAGAAACACAGGAGTAATTGAAAACTTTTAACTTGTATATATCATCATTGAAAATAACATGCAATATAGAAAATTTCGGGCACACTGTTGCAAATGCTTAAATTATTCCCAATATTTCTAAGCATGGTAAGCCGGCATAAGTTTTTCTTTTTTTGTTCACACTTATTTGCGCGCGAAAGGTTCTTCAAAATAAACAATTCTTTAAATATATTAATATCTAAATATTTTGCAATAACGTTAATTTTCACCAGTCTTGTAAGTATTGGCGAAATTTATTCTGTAAATCGCTTCCATATTAAACTAGAAAAGTTATCAAATAATTATGGAAATATGAATCTTATGCTTTTGGTGATAAAGGTGAAATAATGTGGCGATAGAATTACGATCTAGCATCTCCAGAATAGGGGCGCGTACCTAGTTTGCTTGCAGGCAGCAGCAGAATTGAATATAATTTGGTGCGCTAAATTATATTCTATAACTACTACTCATTTATACTAAATTATATTCTATAACTCTACTCCGTAATAATATTCTTATTTTAGTGCAGCAAGTTTTCCGAATTGCTTTATTATTAATACAAGTGTTGATTATAATGTGACCAATTGTTTTTATAATATAATGTGATTAAATTTTCTGTGCAAGGTATTCCCTCCCACAGAGATAGGCAAAAGTATATTAGTAGATACAGCCACAGCGATTTTTTTATTCATAGATGTTTTATTGTTTAAGCAATTTTATTTGTTTATTTACTATACACATAGATCTGACTTTATAACATATCTATGTGTGAAAATCGACTGGAGCAATTTTGAGATTCATTTCAATTATAATATACTGAATTGTAATATAGTGGATACATTAATTTGGTTAGTTTCCTGAATTTATTTTTGGTTGATGTGAATAATTCATAGTGACAATTGATTGTACAGATTTACAGAATCTTTACATCTGTGAATAATGTATACTTTGGGTTGCTTTGAGTGTTATAGTTTACTTGTGCTTAAGAATCAAAACTTATGGAGAATATAATTAGGATACTAATTATCCTTAAGTTTTGATAGTATAAAAACCGCTACTTCACAGTATTATTATGAAAAGCGTAATTTCTAGTTTTAGAGGGTTTTACATCCATGTTAGGTCTTCTCGTATTGTAGTTTTGTGTGAGGATTTTAATATGAGAATTTAATGTTTTGTATTTTTATAGTGTTTAATTTGTTTAAATGCTGTGACAAAATAATGTTCAAAATTATCTCCTATTATAATTCTTAACATGGAGATCCTCAAATAGTTGGTACCATATGAAAAAACCATAAGAAAAAAGGATTCAGCGCTGCGGGCTCATTTCCCACCAGGGATAGTCACCCAAATATTTGTATGACTTACTGAGAATTGTCCTGTATATGGGTTTGCCAATGTTTAATATTTGCCCATAGAGATAATGTTTTACAAACAAAAATAGATGGAATGATTTTTAAAAAACTATGGAAGAGACAAAGGTGTTATTCAAATTTAATAATTGTTTAAAAGCACTAGAAATTGTGAGCAGAATAATCCTAAAAAGAGTTTGATACCCCTAATATGTTAGATTTCTCCATATTTATGCCACAGGTCAAACATTTGCATGAAAAAGGAAGGACAGGACATGGCAAAAGCTTGCTGCGTTGACGGCTGCATAGCCAAGGATGTTATATACTTTAGGTGAGTTGTCTGTATGTTGTTGTTCATATTTAATTTGGTAAGTCGGGCCAGGCTTTTACTTGTGAGTTATCGCAAAATATCGGTCTAATATAACACAGTAGGGCCATTATTGGACATTATTAAACTAGAAATTATTTTTAACCGACTTCAAGAAAGAAGGAGGTTTCTAAATTCGAACATATATATTATATACATATATATTTATGTATTTGTGGCTAACTTCTTCGTTTATGAACCTATTTTGATGATTCTTTTCGGAGATTATATTTTTATACTCAGGAATATTATACAGACATATGATGTGTGAACAAACATGTGTGAAAATCTACGGTTGGACAAATTATGAGACTCATTTCAATTAGCAATATTCGATTCAATTTCAAAAGCTTGATCGTCTGAAGTCTGGTAGCAAACAGATCAATTCATTTTTTTTTTGGTTAATTAGTGCCAGCAGTTAATAAGTAATTGTTATTAATATTTTATGTGAAGAGTTGCCAAGACTATTACGGTGGTAGAACCACGCAGCAGCCTTGGCTGTTGCACGAATGGGCAGGCTCGTTCGGGTAAGTACCACAACCTCACAGAAGACCGGCGTAAAGTGGAAGTATGACAAATACTTTCGCGTTTCGTCTGGTGAGTGAGGTAGCCGGAGCCCAATTTCCAAAAAGGTTGTCAACGCATCTGCAAACCCTCGGGTGTAGCAGATTTCTATGGGCGGCGGTATTCACTTAACGTCAGGTGAACCGTCTGCTCGTTTGGCAACTTTTCACATAAAAAAAAGACTTCTACAACACCTGGAGTTTGCGGACGCGTCGTTTAACTTAAGCTGTGGGCTTCGTTACCTCACTCACCAGATGAAACGCGAAAATACAATACTTCCACTTCGAGCTAGTCTTCATTTAGACTGTTGTAAATCCCCGGACGGTCTGCCCATTCATGAAACAACAGAACAGAAACGTGGGGTCACTTCTCTGCAGAACTGGTTTCTTCTCTGGATACTACACCATAACTGTTTTTATCTTTCCCCTGGTAGGATTCTTAAAGAAGAGTTGCACAAGATCACCCACAAGAAACAATTTTAAAGCGCCTTTCTGTCGTTATAATAATATAATAAAATAAAAATAAATCTGTCATAGACATTTGAATTTTCACAGATGTGTATTTCTGTTGCCGTTATAACAACAAATAATTAAAAAAAAACAGAGCAAAAATGTTTTTAAGTGCTCCCATACAACAGACATGATTTTCTTGCCGTTTCTATAGATACCGACTCGCGCTTGGCCTTTTTATCAATATAAGTAATAATTTGCAACCTCATCGGCGGTGTAGCCATCATCGTGTGAATTGCTTAACCATTGCCATCTCCGAGAAACGTCGTCCCTCCCCAGATTTCCCAACAGCCGCACCCGCTGCAAGAAATGGGTGGAGGCTATCAAGCTGAGCAGCAGGCCGAGCCACAACTCCCTGCTGTGCAGCGCCCACTTCAGCCCCCAGGACTACTCCCTCGTGAGGGGCAAAGTACGCCTCAAGCCCAAGGTGGTGCCCAGCCTAGTACAGGTAAAGTATACAGGATGGACCGGTGAATATACACTTCATGTATATTTTAATCAAAAGGTGCCCGTGATCAGACTCAGGGTGTGAATGGTGATGAGAATGAAATAGAGAAAGAAAAGATTCATAGAAGTCTCCGTGAACCGAGGTTGATTGTTGCCATGGAAAGAGATTATTATGATGAGAGAGATGGATCAGTGTGAGTCGGAATAGCAGAGTTTAAAATTGTTGTTCAAAATGAGCAACCGAATTACTTGACATCACTAATACCAACATTATGCTTTGTATTTTTACCCGACTGCGCCAGAAGGAGAGTTATGTTTTTCGATAATATGTATGTATGTATGTATGCATAATTGTTTGGCACACTGCAGCCTGAACGGCTTGATGGATTTTAGCTTGAAAGGTGTCGTTTGATTCGCATTTACTGTGAGAGTGACGCTGGTTATATCATAATCATTGCAAAATTACACAGAATTGCAGTAAGGGATTTTACTTTTTTATATTGTATCTACTTGTCACAATCTGATTGTCAATATATCCCCTTATATGTCATATCTGTGTAACCTCGGTATGTACGATTGGCAGCCTCGTATTGCCCGTCGTTGTGTGGAACGACCCCCAACGCTAGATGGAGTGCTATGCAAATGTGCGGGAAGTAGGGATATCGACAGTGTGGCGTAAAGTGGAAGTATAATACTTTCGCGTTTCGTCTGGTGAGTGAGGTGGCCGGAGCCCAATTTTCAAAAGGTTGTCAACGCATCTGCAAACCCTCGGGTGTGGCAGATGTCCATCGGCGGCGGTATTCACTCAACATCAGGTGAACCGCCTGCTCGCTTGGCAACTTTTCACATGCCTTCCGTAGATGACTCCATGCGCAATTGCCAAGGTATTGGCTTCTGCTTCGGGGTCGTTGGTTCGATTCCCGCACGGGACAAATATTTGTGTGACCCACAGATAGTTGTTTCGCATCTGGGCCTTTGTCCATGTCAAATTTATATTCGTAAAACGTCCTCACAAAACAGAATAATGTTATCCTAAAGTAGGATTGTGCTTAGTTTAAAAAAAAACTAAAGAAAAGAATAAGTAAAATAAATATATCAATGACATATAATATATATTATTACAGACCGAAGCGCCTAAACCGAATGAGACCAAAAATTCCCACACCGGCCCGGGCCTCGATAAGACTGATGAAGCAGAAGGTAGAACACAAGAGACTGAGATAGAGATTAATGGAATCGAGAAGGTTGATGAAACAGAAAAGAATGAGGAAACAACACTGAACAGGAAGTATGCAAATAGTAAGAAAAACGCCAAGTCAGCGACTAGGTATGTGAAGAGCAGAGGTATTGGACGAAGCAGAAAGACTGGCCGTCGGGAGCAGAATTTGACAAGGGGAAGGAAAAGGAAGACTTCAGATAGGTACGGTAACTTGACAATTTACAATGTGGCAAATGTTGTGTGCGTGCGTGCGTGCGTGTGTGTGTGTGTGTAGGAAAAAATATTTAGAAGATATGAAAAAATTGTAGAAAAAAGTACGTAAAGTTTCGCCGCTGTGGGAATCGAACCCACGTCTTCGGGATTCGCGCCCTGAAGAGATTAGCACTATAAAAATTTAGATTACTGATATTAACTACTAATATAACTAAGAAGCTTCGTTCAACAAAACTGAACTGACTACTGTACTGAACCGTCTAAAATATTTTTTTTAAATTACCTCTCACTATCTATCCCTATGACTTATATAGCGTATGGATAGATAGTAAAAGGTATATTGTGAATGTGTGTAGTTTTCATGGTATGCTAGACTGGAAAGAGACAGTGTTCTTGGATTAAAAGAGTTTATAAATTCAAAATTGTTAATCCATAGACACAAGCTACCAACACTTGAAATTAGGTTTACTTAAAGAGAAAAACAATATTTGAGACCCTTTATATATGAAACTCATATTTAGATAATGCCTGTACTGTGGTAAGGCCACGGAGCAGTGTTCAATGTTGCACGAATGTGCAGGTCCGTCCGGCGAAGCAGCACAACCTCACAGAGGACCGGCGTGAATTGGAAGCGTTATATTTCTGCGTTTCGTCCGGTGAGTGAGGTAGCCAGGGTCCACTTTATTAAAAGGTAGCAGTTGGCAAACCTACGGGTGTTGCAGATGTCCATGGGTGGCGGTTATCACTTGGCAACAGTTGAACCGCTGGCTCGTTTTCCACCTTCTCACGTAAAAACAAATTCTTGAAAATTATTAATGACAGTGGTAACATAATTACTCTTTCTCGTTTTCCAGCGTGACTATAAGGCCGTGTGCAGAAGAGGAGAAGGGAGACATCGAGGAGCTTCTCACCTACTACCACATAAAGCAGAACAAAGATGTGGCAGAGAGGCAGAACGCGGAGCTGCTGAGGGAGAGGGAGAGACAAACGAGCCAGGACGGGGACTCTGGCAGCGGTGCTGTGGATATTGTACCCTCAGCCACGGAGACGGAGGCAGAACCTGTGTTCATAGAGGTCTCCGCGAACCAAGGTAGACTGTTTCCATAGAAAGATACCTGTGTTCGTAGAAGTCTCCATTAACCGAGGTTGATTGTTGCAATGGAAAGAGATTCTTATGATGAGAGAGGTGGATCAGTGCGAGTCGGAATGGCAAAGTTTAAAATTCTTGTTCGAAATGAGCAACCAAATTACTGGACATCACTAATACCAACATTATGCTTTGTATTTTTACCCAACTGCGCCAGAAGGAGGGCTATGTATGGAGAATATGTATGTATGTATGTATAATTGTTTGGCATGCTCTGCAGCCTAAACGGCTTGATGGATTTTAGCTTGATAGGTGTCGTTTGATTTGTGTTTGCTGTGAGAATGACACTGGGTTATATCAAAATCATTTTCAAATTGCACAGAAACGCAGGCAGTGTTTTTAGTTTTTGAAATTACTAACTAATTATACTTGTTTACTCTAGTATGTATTATTTTTTTTTTTGTGTTATTCTTTTTTGTGTGCGCCCTTTTTCGCTAAGTAAATTTATTTTGCTAAGTAATTTTATTGAGCCGTGATAGCTCAGTGTCCGGTCGCTCGCCTTTAATTCCATATACTCGAGCTACGCGAGTTCGATCCCCGGTGCCGGCACCAATGAAGTTTTTAACTTCAAGTGCTGACTTATCACGTGCTCCGCGGTGAAGGAAAACATAGTGAGGGAACCTGCATATTTTAAAATAATAACAAAAAAAAATATATTTCGAAAATATGTGAAGTCCGCCAATCCGCAGTGGGGCCGCGTGGTGTACTATGCCCTGACACGCTCTGTATAGAGAAGGCCTTTGCCCAGCAGTGGGATATGTATAGGCTGTTACTTTACGTTTACTTTTAAATTTATTTTCTTTCTTTCTTTCTTTCATATATTTGCGTGACCAGCGGATAGTTGTTTCGGAGCTGGGTGTCTGTCAATGTGATATTTACGTACGTGAAACGTTCTTACAAAGTAGATATTCTAGGTCGCAGTGGTTATCGGGTCTTATTCCGAACACAATTGTATCTCGTTGCAGACAAACACCGGCGAGGGTCTGGCAGCCCCCGCGACTGCCTCATGCTGCTGGAGAGCGTCCAGGTGGAGCTGGACCCCAACGACCTGTTGCCACCCGAGGGGGAGGAACCCGAAGGGCCCAAAGAGATCATCGTCCTCGATGACAGGTCAGTGCGGGCTCACCACTTTGGTAGGTACACTCCTTTATGCGCGTTGTGAAAAAATGATGAGGGTGAAATTTTAAGATGTAACACACCTTTGAAGCTGCCCGCTAAACCGCTTATAATAGATGGCAGCATATTCTCAATGACATTCGCCCGTTACAGTTCTCAATAGAGAGTGTAGATGGCGCTTTCATATTTTTTTTTATTTATATCCTTTTCCAATCTTTTTATTATTTTATTGTAATTACTTACTGGCATTCAACACATGCGGGTTCGAATCCCGACAATTTATTAACAAAACCAGCACAATTAAAACCGCCTCACTTAGCACTCTCCGCACCCATCACTTTTTGCACCAAGCGCAAAGAGCAAGTGATTAAACTACTTAATGTCCCAAACGGCTGTGTGTCTGATGATCACTTGGTCATATAACTAATCGGGTGCAATGCTCATATCTCTATGGTGCTGGGATATCAACACTCGGATAAGAACAATCAAAAAAACAGTCAAGCAAACTGTGGCAGGGCCATACAACTGTTCGCTGTATCAAGAGTCGGCAGCTCCGTTAAGTACCACAACCTCACAGAAGACCGGCGTGAAGCGGAAGTGTTGTGAAGTGTTACACTCCTGCGTATCGTCCAGTGAGTAAGGTAGCCGGGGCCCACTTTAAATGAATCCTACGGGTGTTATAAACGTCAATGGGCGGCGGTTATTAATTAACATTAGGTGAACCGCCAGCACGTTTACAACCTTCTCGCAACAAAAAAATCACATTTCAAGTTCCGTGTTGGATGCAGAGACTGGCACTAAAATATAACTATTGAGACAGCATAATAGCTAACATCGGCTATCAAAACTGTAAGTCTACACTTATAGGAGTTATATTGATGACTCCGTGACGCAGTTGCCAATGGCGGCTTCGAAGTCGGGGGTCGTGGGTTCGATCCCCACGCGGGACAACTGTTTGCGTGACCCACAGACAGTCGTTTCTCATCTGGTTGTTTGTCCGCGTGAGATTTATGTTTGTAAAACGTCAAACGATAATGCAATCCTGAATTGAGGAAATTTAAAAAAAAAGAAATATATATATTTCTTTTTTATATATCCTTTGAACAGTTCCAGGGTCGAGGAGCCAATCAGCCTGCTGACCTCCAGCGACGAAGACGACGTGATAGTGCAGGAGCCCCACATCGACACGGTGCTGATCTCCGACGAGGTTCCTACAATGATATTTTCAGTTTATCTATATATAAGTTACTAGAGGACCCGACAGGTAACATTTCGTAAAATCCGTCTGCAACTTATGGTTCCAGAGATATCGTTATGAGTCAATTATCGGTGGATATCTCATATATATATATATATGTATATATATATACAGCGTGTCGTTACCATCGCGACAATAAATGAACACACATATAGGGGATAACTTTTTAAAATTGTATTAAACATTTAAATTCTTTAAACATCAATATTTACAGAGTTATTAAATTTTCCAAAACAAAGAATTTTAAAACACCCTTATGTATAAAACTGTAACGTAAAGTTCATTTGTAAAGGTCACAAAGCATATGAATGGGTTGAATGAATTTAAAAGAGGCAAAACATACTGTTAGAAGGAGACGCTTGTAATATGACGGTGTGCCGCGAGTTGTATAAGATGTTACAAATTTTGTTTCTTTTTTACTTAATTAGTTTGTTTGAAAAATATATTTTTTTTTTAATTATGGATTTTGTTTAACGTTAATATTTTTTTATGATTATTGGCAAGTAGCGTTAGACGTGTGTTCATTTATTGTCGCGATGGTAACGACACGCTGTATATATATATGTAGTTATTAGAGTTATATTATATAGGAATCATCCCACAGCGGCGACAAACTTTCCGCACTTTTTCTACAAATCTTAATCTTTAATCTCAAGTGCAGAGATTGGCACTATAAAAGTTTAAATGTCTAGGGATAATTCGCGTTCCGCTTGCAGAGCGACGAGGACGACAAGCCGCTGGCGGGGCTGGCGGGGCTGGCGGGGCGGAGCGCCCGGGCTTCGCCCCCGCGGGCGCTGCTCGTGTGGCGCGTGTGCCGCGCGTGCGGGTTCAGCGCGGCGAGCGAGGCGCAGCTGGCCAGGCACCGGCGCGCCCACGGCCGAGGGGCGAAGCGCCGCCACAGCCTGCCCTGCCGCCTGCGAGGGCACGAGCCCGCCTGAGGCTGGTGCTGGCCCCGCTAACGGTGCGAGTGGAACTTGGGCATAAATGCTCCCACCCCCACTCGCCTGTAAACAGGTCGGTGCTGGCCGGTTCTGAAACACTGATATTCATAGAATTCAACTAATCAACTGTCAAATGGATTTCCAAAGGTCATTTGAATTGCCAAAAGGATGGTTAAACCCTTTGAATTGATCAGAATGCTCATTAAGAAGATCATTGTACGTTGACAGTATACATTCACGGGGTTGACCTCCTGCAGTTCCGGTCCAAATCTTCAGAAGCAGACTAAACAGGTCCGTTCTTACTCACCGCTACTATTGATATTGTGGTAGGGCTATTCAGCAGTCTGTGCTCTTGCACGAATGGGCAGGCTCGTCCGGTGAGTACCATGGTCTCACAGAAAGCTAACATGAAGTGTATAGTACTTCTATTTCACTTGGTGAGTGGGGTAATGGGGGCCCACTTTTAAGAACACTTTTATTTCACTTTGTCATGGACATTCATGTTAACATCACGTGAACCATCTCGCTTGTTTGTTGTTATATATAAATGCTTGAAAAGTGTCTACATCCACAAGCCAGTACTCTACATGTATACTTTAGATGCAATACTATCATAAAATTGGATAATAGAAAATAAATATGATTAATTAATGATACATAAAAGAATTAAAAATTTCATTGGACTATATGAAAGCTCAATCTAAGGTCCTATTTATTGTTGTATGAAATGTTGATTGCGCTAAATCCCTCTGGATTACGGGTACAGTGTCTGTATGTATGATTGCTTGATTTTTATTCTAAGTATTATTTCTCATTGAATAAAAACAATACCTATTTACTATTATCACTGCTGTATTGATGTACTATTATAAGGTTGTATTGAATTTCATAATAATTTATGTATTATGGTACCTTATATGTTCTAGACATGTGTTTAATGATTATTGTAAATAATACTAATGTACATATTGTTCATTATTGATAGCGTACAAGACCCGTTAAAAGACTTGCATTGAACGGTTTTCATACAATCTCTGCCATTTAACACAATTCTTATCGACAATATAAACATTAAAAATTAATCTGCTGTCTCTTTCATTCACCTCTCTTCTGTCATCATCAAAAGTTTTACAAAATAGACAGATATACTTTCAATAAATTCATTTATAATGATTTCCATTATTGAATAAAAATATTGAAACTTTCTTATGTTTTTATGAAACATTTTGTGTACTACCCTACTGACAGCTAATCCAATTTTCTTCGCATTTGATTTCCATCACCTTTTTCTCTTTTTTTCAACTTCTTTTTTTACTTTTTCTCAACAATTTTCATCACTTGGACATCCTTTAAACCTCGGTTTCAGTGGTAGAGCAACGCAACAGTCTTCACTGTTGCACGAATGGATAATAAAAATAAATATGATTAATTAATGAGACATAAAGGGATTAAAAATTTCATTGGACTATATGAAAGCTCAATCTAAGGTCCTATTTATTGTTGTATGAAATGTTGATTGCGCTAAAATCCCTCTGGATTACGGGTACAGTGTCTGTATGTATGATTGCTTGATTTTTATTCTAAGTATTATTTCTCATTGAATAAAAAACAATACCTATTTACTATTATCACTGCTGTATTGATGTACTATTATAAGGTTGTATTGAATTTTCATAATAATTTATGTATTATGGTACCTTATATGTTCTAGACATGTGTTTAATGATTATTGTAAATAATACTAATGTACATATTGTTCATTATTGATAGCGTACAAGACCCGTTTAAAAGACTTGCATTGAACGGTTTTCATACAATCTCTGCCATTTAACACAATTCTTATCGACAATATAAACATTAAAAATTAATCTGCTGTCTCTTTCATTCACCTCTCTTCTGTCATCATCAAAAGTTTTACAAAATAGACAGATATACTTTCAATAAATTCATTTATAATGATTTCCATTATTGAATAAAAATATTGAAACTTTCTTATGTTTTTATGAAACATTTTGTGTACTACCCTACTGACAGCTAATCCAATTTTCTTCGCATTTGATTTCCATCACCTTTTTCTCTTTTTTTCAACTTCTTTTTTTACTTTTTCTCAACAATTTTCATCACTTGGACATCCTTTAAACCTCGGTTTCAGTGGTAGAGCAACGCAACAGTCTTCACTGTTGCACGAATGGGCAGGTCCGTCCGGGGAAGTAACACATCATAAAAGCCGGCTACGAAGTAGAAGCATTGTAATTCTGCGTTTGAGTGGGGTAGCCTGGCTTTATTTAAAGCGAAATAGAAGCATTGTAATTCTGCGTTTGAGTGAGGTAGCCTGGACCCCGGCTTTATTTAAAGGTGGCAACGCATCTGCAACCCTACGGGTGTTGCATATGTCAATGGGCGATTATCACTTAACATCAGGTGAACCGCCAGCTCGTTTGCCACTTACATAATTTTTGGTAAATGAATGTATTTTCTTTCTTTCTTCCTTCTTCTATAAAATACAAACCAAATAACTTTTCAAGTGAATTTTTATTTGTGGTTGTGAAATATTCATGGTTGTTTTAAATTGTCTCCAACGGGTAGCATGGTAGTTTAACCCTCAGTGTATATCATCACAGTATTAATGCAAATTCCGGTGGCGCCGTTCACCCCCCATTGCGACGGCGACTCGACTTGTAAATATAGCGCGATACAATCCCAGCCGTGGTCTCATTTCCCCACACAATCCCAACCGTGGAGCCACTGTTGCAAACTCACCGGTCTTAAATCGGAGCGACCGAGATGAGGTGAGGGGGTGACCGAGAAGTTGGGAATGGTTGAAATGGGTGGGGGCATGTGGGGGCCTTAATATGTCTCTTGGGTTACAGGGTACTAAAGCCCCCTCGTTAGCCACCCTCGATGCTCAATTGAATCTACGACCAGCACAGTCAAAACCGACAGCTTGGCACATTTGACATATGACCCTTTAAATGTGATGACATCGTGCGCAGTTGCCCGTTTGTGTGACCCACAGACAGTTATTTCGGATATGTGTGTTTGTCCGTGTGAAATATACAGGGAGGCTTTTCTAAGTGTATCCATTTTTTTATTAAATTCTAGACACAAATAATGAATTATAAAAAATGATAAACATTTATAATAACTCGTAGTTAATTAAATACATTCATTTGAAACTATCTCAAAAAGTGCGTGATTTATGGGCAACTCATTTATTTTACTCGCGTCATTCATAACTAACACGCACACAAGTTCGTTTCTAGAACTTAAAAGTTAACGACGCATTTATGACTGACTATATTGTCACAAGTTCTGTTTTTTATAGAATAGAATAGCAATTTTTTTGGAAAAAAAAAATTTGTTTTTATTTCATTAAACGATCATACTACAGAGTCTGAACCTCCTGTGTGAATTTGGGCACCTTTAGAAAAGCCACCCTGTATGTATGTAAAACATCTTTACAGCATAGCGTTATGTTATGCTACAGTAAGGTGGCAATGTTTTCGATGGGGAGACTACAATGGACCTTTCTAGGTATCAGTGGTCTTTGGAAATTACTAACCAACCACTTACACAATATATACACTTAAAATAAAGTGTGGTGTATACTGTATGTTTTCCAAAGAAATAAATGGCTTGAAATAAAAGACATTATGTAACAAAAGGTACTTAATTTAATAATCCTATTACACTGTACAGTGTACGCTTAACCTAATTATTGTCACGAACCGATTCGCTTAATATTGTACTTAAAGTGTATGGGAATAAAGCGCATTTTGGCATCAGCACGCGGCCGGCTTGTTGACCGCCACGCGGCACACCACCGCCTTGAGGTCGTTGACCGCTTCGTCCTGCACCGCCTGGTCGAACTTCTGCGAATCAAATATGGTTCTTTAGTCAACGGAATATGGTATCTTATTGCTTGGCAAACGTATAAAGGTGAGATATTGAATTCTTTAATCTGTTCTTATTAGTAGGTACAAAGTCAACTGTTCGAACTTCTGCGAATCAAATACGGTTCTTAGGTCAATGATATAGGGTCTCTTTTTGCTTGGCAAGCTTATTAAGATGAGACATTGAATTCTTTAATTTTTCCTCATTAGTCTACTGCTGAAACTTCTGCGCATTAAATACGGTTCTTTGTTCAATGGAAAAACCCGGTCAAGAGGGAGTCGGACCCGCGCACGAAGGGTTCCGTACCATTATCCATAAAAACGGCATGTATAAGCAACGCTTAAATATTTTTTTATTCTGACAGACAGCGTAGTCTTAGTAATAAGGTTCCGTTTACCCTTTGAGTAAGGAACCCTAAAAAAACAACAACTAATACATAAAAAAATAAATACAAAGAATAACTTATACAATTAAGTCGAGTGCCTAACGCCCGGTTTGTGAATCACTGATCATCGTAGGAGCCAGCTGTCAAATGGCTTTTCAAATGTCATATGAGTTGCCAAAAGTATTGTTAAACTCTCCGATTTGTACAGAATCATCTTCTTAATGATCAGAATCCTTTTGGCAACTCGAATGACATTTGAAAATCCATTTGACAGCTGATTGGTTAACACCAACGGTGATCAGTGTTTTAATGTGTGGCAATTCCCCCGCCGCCCACCTCGTTCACGATGACGGTCGGCACGAAGGACAGAGGCCTCTGCACCAGGTCGGTCTTGTCCCCGTACGAGGCGAGCAGCTGGTCGCCCGCCGCCCCGCTGGCGCAGTTCTTCATCTTGTCCGAGCTGTTCGACCTCTTGACCTGCTCCAGGCACTGGAACAACACAGCTGTCTAAGTACTAGTTGCTGTAAACCGAATGGGATTAGGTTTGTGTTGCGAACATACTGTTTTTGCAGTGTCTGGGTGTACAGGGAGGCTTTTCTAAGTGTATCCATTTTTTTTTATTAAATTCTAGACATAAACGGTGTTATATTAAAAATGATAAAAATTCAAAATCACTCGGTAATTAATTAATTACATTAGTCTGAACTTATCTCGAAAAGTGCGTGATTTATGGGTAACTCATTTATTTTACGCACAATCATTCATAACTTACACGCACACAAGCTCGTTTCAAAAGTATACGACGCATTTATGAATGACTTCCGCATTGTCAACAAGGTCTGTTTTTTAGGGATAGAATGGCAATTTATTTGAAAAAAAAAAAAGTTTGTTTTTATTTCAATAAACGATTATACTAACGAGTCTGAACCTCCTGTTTCAATTTAGGCACCTTTAAAAAAGCCACCCTTTATATTTATAATATGTATTTATTTACAAAAGAAGAGTATGTTTATCAGTTATCTAGTACCCATAATAAAAGCGTTGCTCTTAGTTCGGGACTAGAGAACGTTGTCTAAAAATCTCAATGTCCTATCTTTGGATACAGTGTGATTTTTTTTACTTTGACATAATGTTAACTGAATATTCCATAATTCTAAAAAAATATATAAATATTTTATTTTGACAAGAAATAACCAGAAAAATATAAAGTCAAACATTGTTTGTTTATCCTTTAAGAGTGGTCACCCTATTGATAGCGGTTTAGTAATTATGCGTTCAGCGAAGTTTTAGTGCTCGTGAATAGGTTAGGAATTTCTTAGGGCGTAGGTGTGTTCCATAATGTATAAAAAAATTAAAAATAATCCTTGAAAGACAGAAAAATAGGTCACAAGTACGTAGCAGCTTCAGATTTAGAATCAAATTCTGCATATACTCTGTTAATATGTTCATCGTCTATAAAATCACCCTGTATAACATCATTGTTTATAACGCCACACACGACATCGTGGAGACTGCAAGCTTACCGTGTCCAGCGCCTTGTCGGGGCTGGCGTTTGCCATCAGGCACATGACCAGCTCCATCTTCTCGGTGTCGTGGAGGCTGCGGTCTTTCAAGATGCACGCTTGCATCTGCGAACGAAATAGACCCGGTACAGTCATCAGAAAGCATTTTTTTTTATTTACTTATATATGGAAAACTTACAGCTAACATACAATCATTAATATATAAATAAATAGAAAAGAGATAGCCATTTACAAGTTCTCGCAAATAATCAATAAAAGGTCAAGGAGTAAAAACTTGAGGTAGGTAGAGATAACGATAAAAAATGAAGTATTGCAATAATAAATATTTCACTAAATTATACGTAAAAAAAAAGCAAAAAGGCATTGTTTGTAAAACGCTTTTATAACACAATAATGTTGGTCTACATTTATTATCAATAATGTTTAAAAAAGAACAAAGTAAAGTCTTATGTGAATTATCACTGTATGGGCGACAGTAAAATCTCCCCTTGTAGGATTTCGTAACATCGAGGACGTTTTGTGACAAATACTCAATGTTGGCAAGAGCTAAGTGTGGTAACGGAACGTTACTTGTGTCTTGTCATGATATGACATATTTTATGTAAATGTCATTTGACATTGACGCAAATACGATAGGATAAATATATCAATTTTTATCGTATCGACATTTCGAAAAAGTTAACACGAATTCGATAGCCTAAAATAAATATGGTTATCTATCGCGATATAAAATATCGACGATATATATATATCGATAATTTTTTGGAAAAATATCGATATTTTAATATATTGACATTTTGTGCCCATACCCAGACCAGAACACGATGGGATGTCATAACTCTCTTTACATAACGCCCGGTATGGGCTCTATCTCTCTTTTTATGCCCTATTACTATATTAAACAAACGGCCTTTATTTACATAGCTTCGTAACTTTCATAACGACTTGTAGATTAAGGGAACGCTAGTAACTCACTTTCCGTAGGTAATGAAACCGGGCGTATACGCCTTTTATCTATATGTCGTTATGAAACTTACTAAGCGATGTAACTAACGGCCGTTAGTTTAATATAGGAACCGGGCATTAGACAATATCATTATTAAATATTAAGTAACATTAAAAAAAAAAACTAAAATAATAAATAATACAAAAGACCCAATTAAGTTATATCATTATTAAGTCTCTAATACACAAAGTGCGTAAGGTTATAAGAAGTGCGCCAAGCATCACTTGGACGCAATGAACAAAGTAATAACGTAAGTGAGGATGGAGAGCTTAGCTCAGTGGCGTCAGGATGCGCACTCCCGGAAGCGTAGGTTCGAATCCTGGCAGCATTGAAAGAAAATTCTCTACAATTACGTATATGTACACGTCTAACAGGCCTCTCTTTCGCTCCAAATGTCTCGCTCTCACCTTATTGCCGTAGCATTCGTCTGGACCGTGCTGGCACGTGAACTGCCATTTGCCGTTGATGTTGTCGTGCTGTAAAGATAAAAATGTGGTTATAATTTCGTGTATTTTTTTAAGTGAAAGTTTGGCATTCAACCTTGCGATAAATCAAGTTCAACATAGCGTTGAGTCTTCATTAGAGTCGAGAGTAGGAATTTTATGTGGAAAGTTGTCAGGCGAGTAGGCGGTCCACCTGATGTTAAGTGTTTACCGCCGCCGCAAACATCGAGAACAACACATGGGTCGTAGAAGCATTAAGTAGCAATCGTTTAAAATGTGAGCCGTGATCACCTCACTCCTGCTGAGTGAGGTGACCAGGGCCACCGCACAAGTATGATGTGGCAGTGTTACACTTCTGCGTTACGTCTGGTGAGTGAGGTAGCCCACTTTATTAAGAGGTGTTGCCAATGTCCATGGACGGCGGCTATCGCTTAACATCAGGTGAACCGTTAGCTTGTCACCTTCTCACATAAAATAACCATTTCTCAATATCGAAAAACAAAACCGACTGCAGATATCTCTTGAATGGTGGATGTGGCTAATGGGATCATTTTCAAACCGAAAAGACACTTAAGGAGTGATAAGAAAACTATTTATTTGAACTTAAACATTTTGAACTTATTTTAGACCAAACGTAATGATTATGAAATTTATATAAAATACAGGAGTTATATCAGATAGCTATACGTGTTACATCTTCAAACGATTTTTACAGAATCCATCAAATATGACAAAATTCAGTCTGAACAAATAAAACTAACATTCCAAATTTAAAGTAATTCAAACATAATACATAAATCAAATAGTATAGAGAGTATATCAAAAGAGTATGTATAATCTGAGATTACCAATCAACAATATCTTGCTCTGCATTCATTTTATAATTGATTTTCGCGAGTTCCCTAAGCATCTCCGGAGCCCAAGATCCAATGCCAACGAAATTAATATGGGACCACGTGGGGAGCACCAGCTTTCAAATAAAAAGAGAATCATCAAAATCGGTTCACCAGTCGAAAGTGCTGAGATGACAAACATAAAAAACAATACAGTCGAATGGAGAACCTCCTTAAAAAACACGGTTGAAAAATAACTCTATCACGCCGGTTACGGGTATTGGTCTTTAATAAAGAACAGAACTTGAGATTTACACTCGGATCTCTTCTATACTTAGGCTTGTAGCATAGGCTAATACTTACAGTCAGCCCTGCACTCCCGAGCTCATAGAATAGGGCTAAGGTATCCCCTGAGTCCACGAGGTGGTCTCGTGCTGCTGCAACATGGCGAGGGGATCGGGGAAGGTCTATCCTACTCCGATGAGTGCTCATTCGCAATACCGAGGGACACCGGTGCGTTCCATAGGAGATTCCGGAGTCCCTCCAAATGTACAGAAGGTTACCGAGGGGGTTTTCGTGGGTACCCGTATAACCCTGTCATGGTAAAAAAGTCTATACTTACAGTTGCCTTGCCATATGGCACCAGCTTGACCTTGATGGCGCCGCGGAAGTCGCGCCAAACGGGCGCCAGCTGCGAGCTGATGAAGCGTCTGCTGTCTGGACACAGGGACTCGTAGTACACGGCGATCTTCACCTGGGCAACGCGAGGGGGTTATTTGACTCGAGTAACTCGAGTCAAACCTTAAACGAGTCAACTCGAGTTCAGTTTTAAGCAACTCGAATCAACTCGGTCGTCCGAACGCAAGCCGGACGTTATACGCGGCGGCCTCACGAGTTGTTCCGAGTTACACACGCGGCTCACGCGCGCGGTTCGTTAGGCGTTGCAACTCGCATCAACTCGCATCAACTCGAGTTGAGTGAAATGTAAAGTTACGTTACACGCGCGCGCGCCGTTCGTAAGGTGTTGCATCTTACTCGCATCAACTCGAATAGAACTCGGGTTGAGTCGGGCTCGCTCGGCCAGGATCGGAAACGGAATTGGGCAAATGAAAAACCGCTTTAAAAGTTTATTTTGTTTTTTGATTTACATTTTGTTATTTGATTTTATTAGTTGGCCGTTGGCGACCCGCGTGCGAACTGACATTTTTGATTTGTTAGTGATCTGTTTTGTTTTGTTTGTAACGACGTCAAATAACAGAAGTGTGGCGTGGGAATTCTTTGCTATAAAAACAGAAACTTTTTTTAACTTTATTTTCGATAGCAATCGACTATGTACAATTACATTTTATAAGTACGACTTTGAGGCGATAGATGGCGGTATTTTTTTGCCGTATTTTCTTAAACACGATGTTGAGATCTGCGCTGGAATAATATACACCTTTGTTGATTGATTTTCGAAATAAAATGCACACTAGTGCCAATTGATTGTAAATTTTGTCTTTGAAATCCCAACCGTCGGACACTGTTCGAGGTCGAGGTGTATAGAAAAATGAGAGGATTAGTTCAGACCACAAACGAAGTTGCGAATCGACTCGAGTAGCCACATACCATCACGATTCAACATCATTATTACTTCCTATCTAATAAGCCTCGAGTCGAGCTGACTCGTGCTCTCCGAGTCGTCCCCGCCCCACCCCCTATGTCCCTACCTGCGACTTCGATGCGAGTCAACTCGAGTTGCGATTCGAGTCAGTAGCCAAATCAACTCGAGTAACTCGAGTCAAAAAAAATCCAACTCGTCACTTCACTGGTGAACGGTGACGAAACCGCGCGGTGATGTGGGATGCGAGGGGAACGAAAGCGGCCAAGTGCGAACCGGCTTCGCGCACGAAGGGTTCCGTACCATTTATATGCAAAAACGCCAAATAAAATCGTGTCCGCTGTATCGGAGACCCACTTGAATATTTTTAATTTGTGTTTTTTTAGTATTTGTTTTAATAGCGGCAACAGAAATACATAATCTGTGAAAATTTCAACTGTCTAACTATTACGGTTCATGACTCATGTGATACAGCCTCGTGAAAGACGGACAGATAGCGGAGTCTTAGTAATAGGGTCCCATTTTACCCTTTGGGTACGGAACCCTAAAAAGAGGATACCTATGGAGTTTCTCTCGCCTGTTTCTTCTCCGTTAGGGGAACCTCCTTACGAAACGGTGGTAGATTTAAAAAATGGCTATCGATAGATGAAATGTATATTTCCTATTTCGATGAATAAAAATGATTTGGATTGTGGACGTTTGCTGATATCGAGGGAGCAAACGTCGCTTGATGGAATAATTAAAACAATGGGAGGAATTAATTGATGACCTTATAACCCCAGCACAGAGTAGGTCTTTGCACAGCGGTGAGACTTGTATAAGCTATTACTGTTTTTTTGTTATTTCATCCGAAAAGTTTTTTGTGTGAAAAGTTGCCAATCGAGCATGCGGTTCACCTCATGTTAAGTGAATACCGCCGCCCGTGGACATCTGCTACACCCGATTGTTGCAGATGCGTTGACAACCTTTTGAAGATTGGGCTCCGGCCACCTCACCAGACGAAACGCGAAAGTATTATACTTCCACTTTACGCCGGTCTTCTGTGAGGTCGTGGTACTCACCCGGACGAGCCTGCCCATTCGTGCAACAGCCGAGGCTGCTGCGTGGCCCTACCACGACAGTTTTCGGATTGGGCATCGTCATTTAATAATATTTACCTTATTATCGTCCTTCTTAGACTTGGCCAGGGCCCCGCATAGTACTGCCGCTAGGCACACGAATAGCAGTGTTCGCATTTTGTTCTGCAACAAGTTTATTTTTTGTATTATTTTTCTTAGGACCCATCTTTACACAACGTTCTCTAGTCCCAAACTAAGCGACCATTGTACTATGGGTATTAGATAACTGACAAACATACTTAAACATACTTTTCTTTTGTAAATAAATACATATTATACACATACAAGCACCAAGACACTGGAAAATACCGTGTTCATCACACAATATTTTTCCAGCAGTGGGTATCGAAACCGCACCCTCTGGCGCAGGAGGCAGGTACACTAATCACTACGCCATTCGGGTTGGCGTTTATACGTAGCTAACTTTCTCGTCGCCGTTCCGTTACTTTCACAAGCTCGGAGTAAACAATGAAGGCAAAAAAACACCACACTTGTGCGAAACAGTCTGCAAATGTCTTGTTACTTCATTCAGTGTCGGAGAAAGTTAGTGCTAAACGAACTTTTTTCTTTTTTTATGTGAGAATGTAGCAAGAGAGGTGGCGGTTCATCCGATGGTAAGTGACAACCACCGCCCATGTACATTTGCAACACCCTTAGAGTTGCAGATGCGTTGCCAACATATGATAAATCGGCGCCGGCTACCACACTCACCAGACGAAACGCAGGAGTGTAATACTTCCATGCCGGTCGTCTGTGAGGTCGTGGTACTCCAAGACGGATCTGCCCATTCGTGCAACAGCGAAGACTGTTGCGTGGCACTAGCACTCTAAACGTTTTCCTACGTATAAAACACCGAAAGTCTTAAGGTCAATATGGACGCATTCACCCGCGATCTGGTGTACTGACCTCGTGAACGTGACGTGTGGTACAATTTGTAAACGGTTTCCTTTCATATTTTAATCTCAATTTTAAATGTAGGTAATAAAGGAATCGTTGAACACAACTGTTATAAATTAAGCTTCAGTCCCCGAAAAGGATTCAGCCAAACAGTTGAAAAAAAGGATTAGTAACTAGTTAATTACTATGTAATGTAGACTGATATATCAATCTACATTACATAATAATAACATGGGAATATATTATTTCCTTAATAACAATGACGTACATAATCATTCATGTGAGATTATTGGTTATAAAATCGAATCTTTAGCCATTACTGTAAGCTTGAATCTTTTAAAAAGCCAAACATAGTCACGAGGAAGCCGTTAAACATTTGGAAGTTGATGTCCACATTTCGCGGTTAACGCAATAGTGTCAAATCTCCAACTGTATTTTGACATATCTCGATTTCTCTAAGCAAGTTGTCGATAATACAAATAACGGTAACGGTTAACGGGTAACGTGTTTGCTTTTAACGCGTACTCCGTCTGCCGCGATGACGCTTGACCGTTTTATATATATATATATATATTACTAGCGACCCGCCCCCGAAAAAAAACACAAAGAGAAATGTTTATAGCGCTTTTTACAAGTGAAAGGAATCAATGATCCCTTATATTTACGCGAATTCTGAACATTTAAATTAAGTTTGCTTTACGCAATTTTCCACGGCTACTTTATTAATAACTAGCTGCTGCCCGCGACTACGTTTGCGTAGAATAGACTGCAAAAATATATAATAAGAAATAGAAATATGTATATAAATTATAGCCATGTGTTATTCTGACGTATAAGCTATATTATTGTAAAGTTTCATTAAAATCTATTCAGTAGTATTTGCGTGAAAGAGCAAAAAACATCCATCTATACATACAAACTTTCGCCTTTACAATATTAGTAAGGATTCCCGTTGTTACAAAGCATTAAAAAGTGAAAGACCGACATTGACTTGAAATTAAGAAGAGAACAACACGCAGACACTGACGCCCGGTTTCTGAAACACCGATCATCGTAGGAATTAACTAATCAGCTGTGAAATGGCTTTTCAAATGTCATTTGAGTTGCCAAAAGGATTGTTAAACTCTTTGAATCATTCTGGCCATTTAGAAGGTCATTCTGATTAATTCAGAGAGTGTAACGCTCCTTTTTGAAGATTGTTGTTAATTAAGGGAAGATTTAATAAAAGATTTATTAACAGTTAAGATGTTGTATTTTACCCTTCAGTTCATACACCATTCAGTTACGATCCATGGACTAGCTCAGATACAATATAGTTTAAAAATGTAAATTAATAATAAGTTGGGCGCCTTGTCTGTTAGGAACAGACTGTTGTAATAATTACAATTAAGTATCTCAGGGAGTCGTGAGTACGTAGGACCTACACATTACTAATAGGTGACCTAGTAAATAGGACCTACGCTTTACAACGTAGGCGTCTTCAAGGCAAAAGTCTGTATCTTGTATTCTTGTATTAACTGATGTTTTTGCTTTCAGTCCCGAGACTATTAAAGCTTCATCTGACGCAGAACCGGTGGCAGTGCGTTTAAGTATGGTGTGTCATCTAAGGGCCATCGAGGTCGTGGTTCGGACTGAAACCCCGATGGCCGTCGACTGTGGAATTAGCTAATCGGTGGCTGGGATTGGTGAGAATGAGAACCATCACAACCAGAATCAGCTGTCAAATGGCTTGGCAAATATCATTTGACTTTATAAAGGGGTGGTTAAACTTTTTTTTTTAATTCCAAACTATGTCCGGCTCTTGACTGCCATCCCACCTGATGGTAAGCGGCGATGCAGCCGTTGATGGTAAGCGGGCTAGCTCAGTAAAAACCTATTAGTCTCGGGACTGAAAGCACAAACATCAGTTAATACAAGTATTACCGCTTCATTATGTTAAAACACCAGTTGCGCAGGATTGGAACCCGCGACCGTAGATCTGATCTCGTGCCGTGATGACTTTCACACAATTAAGCCGCTACACCAGCTTTCCTTTCGGACTTTCTAACATCTAATCGAGTTTTATAAACACTATCTTAGCCTAGCCATCCTAAGGCAGGTTTCAATATTCTGTCGACAGATATATTTGGTTACTAGCGATAGGCATTTGACGTTAGCTCCATAAAACTTACTTCAAAATCCTATCGCCAGTAACCAAATCTAACTGTAGATTGATGCCCGGTTTCTGGAAGACTGATCAACGTAGAATTTAACTTTTTCTACAGTGATATACAACTTGAAGTTACAAGAGAATTTACATTACTAGGAATAGACATAGACACACACATCAATTGGAAAAAACATACACAAAAAATAAGTAGTAAAATATCGCGTTTCACATATGCACTCAATGAAATTAAAAAATCTACTGACTTGAAAACTGCCCTTGCAGTATACTATGCCTATTCTTTTGCATGGCTTAACTACGGATTGATTCTCTGGGGGAATAGCACAGGTGCTCCTGCAATTTTTACTCTACAAAAAAAGCTTATAAGAATCCTAGTTAATATAAATCAAACAGATAGCTGTAAACCCCACTTTAAAAAGCTAAATATACTTGCCTTACCAAGTTTATATATATGAAATATGTAAATTTGTTCGAAAAAATCCTTGGCTTTATCAAAAGCGTAGTGAAATTCCTGTACAATACAACTTACGACATAAAGACAGACTAATGCAACCCACTTCTACACTACAATTATACTCAACGAGTCCCTATGTAATGACCATCAAAATATATAACAAACTACCGCAAATATTAAAAGACGAAAAAAACGATAAAACTTTCCTAAAAAAATTAAAAGAATTGTTACTTACCAAGTCATATTATGACATAAAACAATATTTTGGAGATACCTTGGATATTATAGATATAAATAACACATAATGATCTCACATTATAAATATATTAAACAAATTACTCATAATTAATATATAAATTAAAACTAATAAATGTCACCTATAAAAATAAATAGCCTCTCAAAATACCAATTACCTAAGTGATACATCTTGCTCTCTCCGAATTTATGATTTGTTTTGTACTATGCCCTATAAACAGGATGTGCAATCAATAAATAAATAACTAATCTGTTGTCACTGATTAGTCTGAAGACAAGCCGTTTAACAGCTGATTAGTTAATTTCTACTATGATCAGTGTTTCAGAAACCGGGCGTAAGTCTCAACTTGGTAACGTAGCTGTCGCCGAGACTCGTACGAAATCGAAAATATACCTCGGATTAAAATTAACTCGGGCTTTGAACCTTGGTTCCGCAGAGCACTGTCACTTATTTCACTCATTATGTTCAGTGCGAGAGTACTTCGATCTGTGTCGACTGCCACGGGTACGTATTTTACAACTGGTTCACGAGTTATGAGCGTTACGATAAAAAGAGCACTAGTGATGCGACAATTTATCGTTTTTTTTTTTTAATTTTTTTCTAGTGAAATCGATATATGGTATTAACCGATCAAATGTAACCAACCCTGACATTTTTAGAAATATATGCGTATAAGATTACTCGAACGGAACATGCGTTGGATAACTTAAAAAAATACTAGGTTATAGTTATACGATTTAAATGATACGTTTTTGTGCGCAAAAGCAGAAGGCGATATTAATCGATAACAATAATAGTCGATTAGAGATTACTCGATATTAATTTGATTGTTAGTGAAGAACCTTAATTGTTCAAATTAGGTAATTTAAATTCGATGTGTATGTTATTACTTTAAAATTTTTGCATTTCTTTAAAAATACGAACTCAAATAATTTGTGCTAATTATAAGGTTGTTGTTGTAAGTGTCCTGTTTTATTTAATGTTTAACGTTATGGTCATGAAGTTATTGGAACTCCTTTCTCTTTTCATAAGCTTTATGGTCAATGCTATACCTAAGAAAAAAAATTATCTCGCAATTCATTAGCGAGTTTTTAAAGACAAAAACGGATTGCTAGCTATCAATATATGAAATTCAACACTGGGAATTTAAATGCAGCGGACATTGCATTGAGCGCGCCAATATTTATGATTGGTCGACAGTCGAGCATTAACAATGGTGTTTGATCGTAGACCAATCAGAGACGTGATTCGAAGATCGTCAGCCAATAAAAAGGCTTGACCTTCGCTCACACTAACTACACAGATTAATTTAAAAAATCCCTCGTGTATTCTTCATAGGACAG